TACTGAAGAAGATAATCGGGACAAAATAATACTTGGTCTTTAAGAAAATATTGCAGTTTTGGAAAAGCGCCAAGAACTTATTGGAAACCTTTTTAGTGAGCAGCACCTAAAAAAATTAGAAAATCAAAAACTCGCCTTAAATGGAAAGTTGAGGACATATCTAAAGCAATAGTTATCTATTCTGCTGGTCCAAGAGCATATTAGGTTAGTTCATTATTGAAATGCAAACAAATGACACTCATATTTTTCTTAATCTTACAGATTGCTTTTAAAAAAGGATACCCGTTTCCTGCAGTTTCTTCTCTTCGATCTTGGCTAAAAAAAGTACAAATTGCTCCTGGCATATTAAAAAATGTGTTCAGTTTAATGAAATTCTCTGACATGAGCTCATTAGATAAGGTTGGTAGATTAATTTACATTTTTTACAAAAATTTTTCATATTTCATGTTACTTATGTTGTTTTGCTATTTATACATATGATTTTTTTGCAAATATTTAAAACATAATATTTTTAGGTGTGTGTGTTATCATTTGACGAGATGAAAATCAAAAAAGCCTACCTTTATGACAAAGCGAACGATGAAACCTTGAAGCCATATTCTTATGTACAAGTGGTAATGCTAAGAGGACTATTTAAAAGTTGGAAACAACCTGTTTTCTATGATTTCGACTTTCAGCTTTCGAAAGAAAAATTGTTTAAAATCATAGAGTTTGCTGAATCGTCAAGTAAATATTTTATGATAATTATTTTTATACCTATTCTATGATTATTATTAGTTGAACTATTTAAAATGTAAGGCTATTTGTAATTATACATATTTTATTGTTACTGAATGTGATTATTTGTCAAAACTCTCAAAACACCTAATTTTTAGGTTTTTCAGTGGTAGCTATTGTAAGTGATTTAGGTGGTGGAAACAGAGCACTTTATAAAGAGTTAAATATTAATCATACGAACACCTTCTTTAAGAATCCTGCAAATAATCACAATATCTATGTGATGGCTGATGTACCCCACCTTGTAAAATTAATTCGAAATCACTTCGTAGATCAGGGATTTATTTAAAATGGCGATTCTGAGATAAATAAAACAATTATTGAAGAGGTTATTGATGTAACTGGTACTTCAGACCTAAAAATTACACATAAAATATCAAAGGAGTCTCTTAACATTCAAGGCACTGGAAGACAAAAGTAAAATTAGCAACTAAGCTATTTTCCCACACCATTTCCAAGGCAATTTTAAGATGTGGAACAATGGGGTTATTGAAACAAGCAAACTGGCTTGAATGTGGAAAAATTTTTAAATTAGTACGTATATATTTTTTTGTTATCTCTAAATTAAATACTTTTATGTAAATAAAACGATGGTATAAATAATAATTTTAGGTAAATGATTGGTTTGATGTTATGAATGTCAGAGAGTATTCGAGTGACTCCAGAGAGCTAACAAAAGCTTATGGATTAGCTTCAAATATCCAAGATGGTATCATTACCAAAATGCAGACACAGTGGAAAATCTCCGGGTTAAAGGAAAGAAATGCTTGCTTCCATTCCAAAAAGGTGAAATAAAAATACATTAAGATTATTTATTAATTCTCATGACACCTATGTTTATTTCAGGCATTATTATGACTATCCATTCATTAAAACTTCTATTTGAAGATATGAAAACTAGATTTTCCACCAAATATATATTGACATATAGGTTAAATTAGGATGTATTGGAAAACTTCTTTGGAGCTATAAGAGCCAAAGGAGGACTTCATGATCATCCAGATGCATTACAATTTAAATACCGTCTACGATCCTATATTCTTGGAAGAAATGAAGGTTCTCTTTCCAGCTTCGGAAATATCGAAGAAGATGAAACTCCCAACATACCTGTGGATAGTGCAAATTTATGTGGAAAATATTTTTCTTCAATTCAAAATAAGACTATTACCGATTCAGAGGCACCTACTAATATGTATGATAGTGAACTCAGTGATATCGAATATGACGGCTTAGAACATTTGGCAGGTTATATATGTCACAAGCTGAAGGATATAGATTCATCTTTAACTTTATCCAGTTCAAATGAGTTTACCTGGATTTCTCATTTAAGTGAAGGTGGTCTTTCAAAACCTACTCCTCAAATGATGGAATATCTCGAAAAACTAGAGAAAATTTTTAATTCTGTGAATAAAGATAAATTATTTATTTCTACACAATATTTAAAAAAAATTATTAGATGAGAGTTCTTCAGTTTTATGCTCTAATCAGACAAAAACCCTATTTTTTAGATCCAGGATGTTTTTCGTATTAGACAATTAAATAAAGATTTACATAATTTTACTTTGTCTAGAAAAAGAAAAATGGCAAAAATTGTACATTAAAGATGTTTAAGAATTAAATTCAGTCTTTCATTTTACCCAGAACCTACCGACCTATTGATCAATATATATATATATATATATATATATATATATATATATATATATATATATATATATATATATATATATATATATATATATATATATAACCTTAAATTCACGTAGTAAATAAAACATATAGTAAATTATATTAGAATTTCAACAGTTCGTTTCATCCGCAAGCATGAATAAATTTTGCAAATTTAGCACAAGGTGACGTCATGCGCGTAAGTGTACGAGTTTAGTGCGTGGCAATATCATATCTGGTATCCTTATATCATGGTTAATAATAGTAGTTATTCAGCGAGAATGACAGTGACAGTTTCTGTTGACATCTCCTCTAAAACATTAATAATTTTTGTCCTATCAAGAAGTGTGTTTATACCCTGTTTTCTAAGATACATAAGCAAAATGAGAATATCTACAATTAAAATATAAAAAAATAAAGGTTTCAACTAACACCTCATAAGTACTTACTATCTACTCAGAATCGCTGTTATCACTAGTATCACTCGTATCATCTAAATTTATATGTAATTTAGTTAATGCTGGTAAATATTTAACATAGTCATTTTCCACTCCGATCACATGTTTTATTTTTATTACATTTTTCCAGTTGGTTGCTGTAATTTTTGTGACTTCTCTTCTAATTAACTGGAGAACAGTAGACAAAAAATTTTGGAGCAACGTTTCTTCTCATCATATTTCCTTTAAGTTGAGCCCATATTAACTCTATTGGGTTCAATGTACTATATTAGGGAGGAAGTCTAAACACAGTATGCCCGTTACTACGAGCACAGTTGTCAACAACATATTCCTTTTCGTACTGTTTACTATGAACAACCTCCAACAATTGCTTTTTAATATAAGATGTCTCAAAATACAAATCTTCCGTGAATAAAAAATCCTGAATTTTTAATTTATTCCAACTATTATTTGAAGTTTTTTCATTAATCTTGAATGATATGATGCGTTGTCCATGATAATCACACTATCTTTAAGTAATTTCGGAAGAAGACATTTTTCAAACCATGATTCAAAAATTGAACTTTCCATATCGTCATGATAATCCAGAAACGCGTTTTTAATTTGTTTTGCAGATATTAATAATGCATCGTCGACCCATCCATTTTCTCCACCGCAGTGTAAAATTATAATTCTCTTTCTTTTATTGGGCGGTACTGAGTTGAAACACTTTTTGTTATTATTTGTCCAACTTTTTTTTCACGGTGTCATGAGTATCAGGTCTCATCTAAATAAACAATATTTCGTTTCATTTTTCGATACTCAGTTATCTGTCTGATATAATTGTTTCTTAAAGAAATTATTCTAGTACTTTCCATTAATGTCTGTCTCTTGTCTATAGTTTTGTACTTAAAATTATTGGCTTTAAGAAATAATCGAAGTGTTGTTGCTGAACACGAGAGAATGCACTTTCGAACTAATTCACTTCGAAGACTTTCAATAGTTGGAAAAATATTAGCCGCATACATTTGGTATATTGTTCTAGTTATAGATTCAATTAAGTGCGGTTCTATTTTTCTGAATTGCCACAATCCTTTCTCTTCTGTCTAGAAGAAGATGTTTCTCCTATAATTTTGTAGTGGGTTGCTTTGGGCACTCTGGTTAAAAAACATGTTTCTGCAATTGCCTCTGAATTAGACAATTCAGCACACAGTCCTTCATAAACATTTTTTAGCATACATTTGGCATCATCAGAAAGGTATTGAAAATGTCGCTTACGTTTTACTAGACGCCTTTGTAAATCTTCCAATCGATTAGAGGGTTCCATTATCTCTTCAGCTACATAATTATTATCGCACCACGGACGCAATATTTTAAAATTATCAAACGTATAAAAACATAATCACGTAAAAACGTATCAAAAAAGTAAAAAACGTAAAATATAAAATGTTTTCCGTATAAAGAACACTGAAAGAAGTCACTACCAAACTAACTTGCGGTTCACTATTTGAAATTTGAATTTAACTCAACGCTGTAGCAGTTATGATTTTACTAAAAATATTCTTGTCTTCCAAAAATCTGTTGGTCATCTCCGCAATTTAAAAATAAAATATTATAAAAATTTGCCTACCTAAGTTTTCCCCGTCCCGTGCCTTCGGCATTGGACGGTCGAAACCTGATCCCTTATTTTATGACTCCGTAAGCTCAGCCAAATACTGTTATAATCTTACACCAAGTATGAATAAGTCTACCGACAAAAGATAATGCATTATGATTTGTCATAACAGTGATATCCGATGTTTTCATTGGCAGTTAGTCCACGTGGACTTGTCATAAGTTCGATGAAAACTTAATTGGTTGATTGTTCATATCTGGTTCATATTTTAAAAGATTATACCAGGCACGTCTGAATGTTAATATCGAGTAGAATCTGGAAACTTTGTATTATTATACGTCTGAGTCATTGATAATTTTACAGACTCCTGGTAGAGTACCTTTTTGTTGAATGATTTTATTACAGATACATATATTTTTGCACAGTCTCACGGAAATACGAGGCTACTATAACAAAAAAAAAACCAGAAACAGTTGAAAAAAATAAGTTTATTTTTCATTTACCTGATTGCTTAGATCTTGTGATTTGGCCTTATCTACCCAAACCCATGAGGTAGTTTTGTCAAATGGCTTATGGATAACACCCATCACAGGTTTCCCTTTAACAGCTACACATACCATAGTAGTAACATAATTGTACAGTTTCTCTAAAACAAATGCCTACAATAAGGTCTCATGTTCACCTCACTCTCCAGTCCATATAAAACTCATTAAAAAAGTGTAAAATAAAACTATTTTAACTTAGAAATGTGTAACATTTAGTGGCATGAAGTGCAGGATTTATTGTTTAAACAATTTATAAACTAAAAATAAATGTAACAGAAGCTTTATGATGAGCTAGGGCATTGGACATTTTTAATAAAGGGTATTCATAAAGACATTTGTCGTTTTTATAGTAACAATCATAGGGGAACATCCATAAACTATGTAGTAAGAAATTTGGACTGTTTAATACCCTCCCACCCTTTCACTGTTTATTGTCGAGGTCCCCTTATGTGTAAGGCGCAATTGCAACTAATGACCCCCCCCTTCAGAGGGGTAATGATTTTATTTAAATCAAAGTTATTTATGGATTTTTTAAAATTAACTATTAAACTTGATTTACTAATGTATCATAACAAGAATAATGAATTAAGATTAATAATTCACTTAAAAGTATGCTGCTCTCTGGTAGAAATGAGTAAAAAATGATATTTATAGAGACAATAGTGACAAATTGAAATATGCCAGAAATGACATCAGATGTGCACTCATGCCCCCTTCTGTCATATACCATTATAATAAGCAAAGTCCCCTCCCCCTCTTCTCTATGACATAGTTTATGGATGTTCCCTAGTCTGTTATTTATGTAGTTGTTGATAAGGACTATCTAAAGACTTTGTAAAACTGTTTCTAAAAATTGAATGATTGATGGAGATAAATTCCAGTCAACAAATGAGTCAATCGTGGAGATGGTCTAAGAAACTTCCAAGTAAAACTGATAAAAATGTTAGAAAGGCTGATAAGAGATTCAACAAGGTATAAAATGATAAAAGTAAGAGATCAATGAGAAATTTGACAATATTTTCAGTAACTTTGAAGAAGTTTCTCAAATAGTTGATAAAGTACAGAAAAATGTACAGTCCCAAAAGATCTCCCACCAGTTGATGCAGTAATCAATGCAATACATACAGGTCCGATAGAAAGACAAATGAGGAACAACACATCATATGAGACTTACAATTAAAAAATAAACTGGAAAATACCATAGAAATTCCCATCTACAACAGTTATAAAAAACACAATATGGAGAAGAATCCAGCCTGCTAGCAATAACTTCAGAATTTGAAACTCATATTGCTGGTATGGTGCAGTTGGTTTATCCAAACATTGATATATTAATCAGCTAATCTCCAGAAGGAGACCAATAGAAGGATTCACATCTGGAAAAAATAATCAGGAAAATAATTCACCACATGACACCAAAGAAATGTAAGCCCAGATATTGGAATTATGGAATTGGTCACATTTGCAAGAAATCAACACAACATTTGAAAAACTGGAGCAGGTTAACATAAAAGAGAAATCTTCATCCTCGAAGACTTAAACCCCTATAGTCACATAGTTAAAATATGATCTACTGATGGTGTTCATGGCTTGTACATTGATGGTCTCATCTATAAGAAATAAATATCGTTTTTATAGATCCAAAATTGCACAACCAGAAATAATAAAAGACCATCATAGATTGTCAGCAACATCAGAACAACTTAGAACCACAACTAGTGAGATAATTAAGCACTGATCCCCTTCTAAATTGTTATGTTCCATTCTGTCCATTATTTCTCATTTATATTAATGACTTGTGATTTTTATAGCAGGTCCCAATGAGCACAGTTCTATTTACTGATGTTACCATACTATCAAAATTATCACCCTTCCCAAATCAATTACATGGATTTTAAGACCACAGAGAGCAATTTGCTCCAATGATTTTTAGCAAATTGTCTTTCTATAACTCAAAATCATAACCAGTGAACTTCACCCTAAGACGTAATACCATTGCACATCCCATTTTAACAAATTGTTTGCAGGAAGCTAAATTTCTTGGTATCTATCTTGATCAGGGACACACTTAAGAACAGCAGAGATACCAAACATTCTTAAAAGTTATCCAGCCAACTCTTTTTATTTAGAAATCTAGCTAAGGTTATCTCCCTGCAAACCCTTCTTACAACATATAGAAATCTAGCTAAAGTTATCTCCCTGCAAACCTTTCTTACAACATATAGCATCTTTCACTAGCAACTATCTTATGTAATACATTTCTGGGGATCCTCCTGCCATGTATAAGATCTTTTAAAAACCTGAAAATTCTCACACTACCTTCTGTGTACATTATGCAGTGCCTGCTGAATGTTCATCATGATCATCATAGATCTTTATGAAACACAATAAAATACTTATCACACTAAAAGTTGTGATGAGGTTTCAGTCAACTTGAAAGGTCCAGAAATAGAACCAGATAGTTTGCAATAAAATTTTATAACTGTGTCCCAATATCTGTCAAAAGTCTTGATTTGATTTAAGAGACTAAGATTTTTTGATCAATTTAAGAGACAAGTGAGAAATTATCTTCTGGCAAGTGCCTTCTATATATTTGAGGAATACTTCAGATCTAATTTTAATTGTGTCCTGTAATTTAATTAAATGTATTTTTAGGTTTGACAATGTAAATTATATAGATTTAGTTTTTTTTTAATCTTTAGAATAGGTATATTACACTGTAAAATTTGTTTTAGATAATTTTTAAATTCCTACTTATTACTGAAGTAACAGTACATGTATTTCTATATTCATAAATACTCATAATCTATTCTTGAAAATGACTCATTAATAAATGACAAAGGATAATCATTTTCTAACAAAATAGTTAATAATTTTTCTCCTTTAACACATTGCCTGCTGTCTCTGCGACCAAGAAAAAATTGCCCTGCACACCAGCAAGGTCTATCGACAGAGAATTTTAATGTAACTGTGGTGCTGGCTTGGTTAGTAGTGTGAACGGAAAGTATTACAAAATCCTCTACCGCTGGCAATGTGTTAAGAACAAATTTTCACTAGAACAAGTGATTTTGGCTCTAACAAATATAAGCATTTAATGATTCCTTTTTTAATATTGATATTTCATTTGTTATTTAGATATCTGTAGGAGTGTGTTGGTTTTATATACACCTTTGTCTCATGTCCAGTATCCTTTAAGATTAAAACATTCAAGAAAGGTAGTGAGTTATTATATTCCTTTTCCATGGCAAATGTTACTGTCATCTTTAACCTTGATACTATTAGAGAATATGTTTAACAAATATGATTCATGAGGCTGTATTGAGAAGACATCATCTACCATATGTGGGCAACCCATATGTGGGTTTTAAATTTTGTTTAAACTTTTTTTTAAATTATATATTACATAGGACTGTTATACATGTATATGTTTACTGCAGATCATTGTGAGAGGGGAACTGGGTTATACAGAAGATATATGTTTTACCTGTATATTCATGTGTAGCATCTAATGGATCTATCCAAATTGTAATATCTTCTTCATTAATTACATTATTATTTATATCCACAGCATTCATTAACGAAAAATCAACATTAACTTTATCATCACAGTTTTTAACATCCTCTTCTGAAATTAATTTCACTTTAGGGAAGAAATATTTAATTGTTTTTGTCATATCACAGTGAGATAAAATATCAGCATTAGTTACACTTTCTTGCATACCCTCTTTAGTTAAACCTTTACTTTTAACATTCATATTTTCCTTACTTTCTACTACCCTTTTACCACCATTTTCCGCTGCCTTTATTGCTACATTTAAAAGAGTAGACAAATTAATTTTTTTAATTTCTGGGTAAGCCTCCGAATTTTTGGTAAATACATGTAATCCAAAAATGAATATTATACATAATACTATAAATATTCCGAATTTATTTAATCTTATAGTACCACTGAAATTCATGTTGTAATTGCAATATTTTTTACATTTCTACTTAAAACACAAAGGCAAAGTGTTGTTGCTAATTAGACTAGGGCATTATTTTTTTTAATATGTAACTACTAACTACTATAAGCGCTTGCTACAATATATTAAACCCAAGTTATTTATCACAGTAGAGAGAGGAGAGAGTTATATCTATTTTGTATTCTATAAGTACTTTGTTTATATTTATAATTTTAAATTAAATATTTAAAAAATCATCTCCAATATTAATGTAAACAATAATCACTTTCACTTGACATGACATTATGACATTTTCCGAATTTTGAAATGTTGTTGGCTGAAAAACTTCTACATCGAGGCGGCCTTGGCATGAGGATGAGATGGTAGTCTATTTTAGACAAAGGAAAAGAATAACCAGGAAAACACAGAAGAATTAAAGAAGAAGACTACATATCACAGCACAACACAACCCCTATTTCATCATTTCATGCAGTGTTGCCAATCGGCGCATAATTATGCGATTTGCGCATAATTTAGTTGCCGGCGCATAATTTTCGCATCCTGCATAAAATCACATAATTTCGCACAATCCAGCAAATAAAAAAAACAATGACAATCCACAGTTTATAATAGGTTTGTTCGTAGAACGATCAGCAACCGTTGCCAACCATCAGACGCACGCGCAGTTAACAGTTAGCGTTCGTAGAAGCACTTCTGACGGTTGGCAATTTTAAGTTTGCTGTTCGCAGTAACAAAGTGATTAATCAGAATTCGGTTTCCAACGGTTGTTAAAATCCCCAACGATTGTGCGGACTAAAAATCAGCGACATGCGCAGAGATGTTGTTGTATAAATCTATTTTATAACCACAAAACAAACGTTGGGTTTGTACTCTATAGGAACTCTATAGGTATAACTAAAAAATAAAAATATACTAATAATATAATAATAATATAATATACCTAATAGAAAACTATAATCAAACTAATAAAATCAAATAAACGACTAATAATATTAAACTATAAATGCAAAAAAGTGAAATAAAAGATTTAACAAACTAATTAGATCGAATTCTAAAGGCCGCATGACACTATGCATTTTCTTGTATTATTTCTTATATCGTTTCTGATATAATAAAAAAATGGATAGTGTCATACAAGCGTATAGTTTTTATATCAGAAACGATACAAGAATTTGTGTCCGCTGCATTTTCTTGTACAAGAAATAACCGCTCTAAAAATTAATGATGAGTAAAGATTATTTTATATCTCCAAATAAGAGAGTAGAATTTCAAGAGCATGCCATTCAAACACATATTAAAAAAAAACAAATAAATTATTACAACCAAATTATTATTTCTGTCTTCCATTACAGCCTGTTGAATATCTTCAAAAATTGTGGTTTCCAATTTAGTTTTATATTGAGAGATTTTATTTCTTTAATTTTTGCAGCACAGTATTTAAAAAAAATCAGTAGCATATATACTCAGTCCCCAGTAGCTTGGAGTCCTCAGGTACTGCAGTTTGCAGTTCTATTTTTATAGGTGTCAAAATTTCGACCAATCAGTATCAATTAATTTCTGGTAAAAGACCTTGCATAGTGTCATACAGGGCAAAATGTACGTGCAAGAAACGATACAAGAAAACATAAATAATTTTCTATATCAAAAACGATATAAGAAATGATACAAGAAAATGCATAGTGTCATACGGCCTTAAGAAATAAGAAAAGGAGATTTCGAGATTTGACAAACGACAATGACAAATGCAAAATATCAAATTTTAGGACAAAATCACAAACTAATTCCAAACAGTTTCCAACTGAACATGCGCACTGTATTTCAAATCACAAACCGTTTGTAATCGCTACTACGAACAAACCTAATAAGAGTACTCGTCTTCTTGTTTGTTTTAAAAGAAAACGTTTGTGCTGACATTTTACACAGCCACAAAATATTAAACAATTGGGTTGAGTTTACCGAAAGTACAAGCTGAATATAGCCGCAAATGTCAAAATATTTCGGTTTGGCAGTGTTGGCATGTTTTATAACGCATGTTGTATGCTTCAAATATAAAGAGATAAAGCTTTTAAAAGTACATTTTGATTATACCATTTATTGAATTCTGCAATTTTTAATTTACATGAAGCAATAACGAGTAGTATTTGTCTTTTTGAGATTAATTGCAATTTTTTTGTAATCTGGCAACTGCTGATTTGACGATTGCCAAATCTATCCTCTAATCTATCAAAGGGTAATTGCTAAAAAAATTTCTAATTATTAACTGCAATAAATCTCCAAAGAAACAAATATTTACTCATTGTTGTTTTATATAAATCAAAAATTGCAGAAGTCATAAATAATATAAACAAAAATGTACTTTTCTAAAGCTTTATCTTTTTATATTTGAAGTATACAGCATCTACATTTACAAAACATGCCAACACTGCTATAGAGAAAGTTTTTGTTCTATGTTTGACATTTGTGGCTATAATCAGCTTGTACTTTCGGAAACTCAACACGTCATTGTCTTTAGCAAATAAAAATTACTTTATCGAAGAAAATTTTATATTCAAGACTAAAGCTGGATTTATAGTTTGACGTACTGTAGACGTAGACGCACTGGAGACGTAAGAAACGGACTGTAAATATTTTTTCAATTTATAAAATGGACGTAGTGGAATTTTTGCGCATGAGTAAAGACAAGAATTGGTGACCAACAACATTCAATATAACCTATAAATTATACAATTATAGGAATCAGAATTCATAATAAACAAAGGGTGTGTGTTTATACTATTGTTTATTATAATATTTTTTTTTATCCTTTTTGCGTGTTAGAATGGATTGTGAAATATACGAAGGTATGCTCCTTGGCGCTGTAGGATTGCTGCTGTGCTGTGTGCAGTAGCATTGCAAAAAACTAGAAGGACAATAATAAGGCGACCAAGACGTTATAAAACAAGACCAATAACCGTAATAGAAAAATAGAGAATGCTTATAATTATTTTTTAAAGATGAAGACAGAAGATCCAGATCAATTTTTGGCATATTTCAATATTGGTGCAATGAACATAACCCATTCTTTCTTTTGATTGGTCAGACGTAAGAAAACGCACTGTAAAAGTTGAAAGTTGACCAACTCTTCCGTTACAGTGCGTTTCGCTTACGTCCCGTCTTGCGTTTACGTTCATTTATAAATAGGAGTACACAAAAGTCTATGTTGATCTTTTTCCAGTGCGTCTGCGTCTACAGTCCGTCAAACTATAAATCCAGCTTAAGATACAAGAAAACATAAATAACTTCCTATATGAGAAACGATATATGACATGATACAAGAAAAGCATAGTGTCATACGGCCTTTACAATGACAACTGACATGACGTGACAGATGACAGTAAGGTTACAACAGAGCGCATAATTTTGTACAAAATCGCATAATTTTTGACAGGGAGGTGCATCCTTCCATGCCCAGCCACTGGTAACACTGATTTCATGATCGTTTATTTTGTTTATAACTTGACGGTGCTTTAACACATTTGTTTATAACGTTATAGTTTACATATATGTAGGAAGTTAATATTTTTAGGAAAAATGAGGGTTGTTTATATTTATAAAGAAGACGATGAATCTAGGGAGTTATCACGACTTTGTGAGGGATATCATTATATTGGGAGAGAAGCACCAATTGAGGTATGACATTAAAATTATCTTACACTATAGAATAAATTACATGATTTACACATTTGAGGAAAGTTACAAATTTACATAATTTTGATTATCCCAAGTATATGGACCTTATATTAACTTAGTACACAGTGTCTAAACTATTTCTAAATCTAAGTTTAATTTATGCATGTCAAGAAAGTTGTGTTAGAGACAAAAATACTGCCAGCACCTATTTCTGAATATCCTGTGGTATAGTGCTGGGTATTTGCTTACATTATGCTGTTTTCATCTTAGTTCTAAAATATTTTGTTTCTTTTCTATAACCTATGGTATTCCTCAACTTTTGGATTAAAATGGTTTCTCAATTAATGTCTAAAGTGTTAAAAACATGGTTATATTAATTGTTGTATGTATTTTAATTCATTTTCACTGCATTATTATCTATTAATCTAAGAACTAAGCACAATATTATCTATGCACTATTAATACCTATATCTGGATGGAATTCTTATTTGAGTACTACTTATACTAACTTCCAATAAGTGATGCAAGGCATGTAAACATTTTAAATGTTAAAGATGTTTAAAATGTATTGTTATAAACTTGTTCTAATAGTAACAGTATATTATTAAAATAACTTTATCAATTTTTATCTTTTCTCGATTATTAGTTTTTATTGCATAGTATATAAATCATTGTAATCAATGAATACATAGTTGGTGACAAAATAATCATATTAATTAAATTATTATGCAAGTAACAATTGTCCCTGAATATTCAAAAACTAATAATAAATGTAAAATAATTTTAAATGTATTTAAATATGAAAAAATAGAAAATCCCAGGTTAGTGGTTGAAGATATTGTAAAAAAAAGTGGCGAGTAAAGTTGGAGTTTGTGATCAAAGTGTATTTTGTTCATTAAGGAATACAAAACTAATCATCAGTTTGCTGCACCAACAGTATGTCTGACAAAAGATTGGTAAAATGATGATTTTGACAAAAATGCTTAGAAGACAGGTTCAGAATTTTTGTATGAAAATTGAAATACCCACTGATAGGGTTTTAAAGGAGGTGAATGATGGCTCTGATTTGCCAAATTTTACTTAAACCACAATTTATAGAATATTAAAAAAACTTTATTTTCAATATCAATGTAGGGGAAGATTCAATATATTTTATTAGACAGAGAGATATTATGGTTTGGATAAGGACTTATAGAGAAGGTAAATGCAAAATTTATTATCTGGATAAGACATGGTTGAACTTTGGGCATACAAAATCTAAAATATGTGTTGACACCACAGTCAAATCATCTAAACAAGCTTTTTTGGATCCTACATATTTCAAATCTCAAAATTTTACTGTACAAATACAGTAAAACCTCAACATAACGGACTATTTAATAGACTTTGGATATAAAGGACCAAAAATCCAGTCAAATGTAAAAAAATTAAAAACGCATACTTAAACCCTCCCATACCACTGTATTTTACAAAGAATTTCAGCAAAATGTTTATTATAGCATAATCAGGACACATTTTTTTTGGATTAGTCATATCAGAGATATGACAGAGAAATGATATTAGGAGAAACATAATATTTTATGATAAACATAGATAATGTAAAATCATCAATATTTTATCATCTTTATACACACATGAGAATGAGTTATAAATTTCTTACTCCCAGCAATAGCACATATTAGGGGATTCCCTGATATAATATGTGTGAGTTTTTATGATTATATGTGAGTGTTTACAACACTTTGACTTATTTAATTTACTCAATGTAAATGAAACACACTTAGTGTACACCAGTAAATAAGTTAAAATTGTCTGTGTCTCATATATGTGATAAATATGGCATAAAAAAGCAAACTGTTTGGCAAAAAAAATACAAAATAAATAAATTTGCATTAATGTGTGATGTAGCAGAGAACATCATTCCCAGAAAAGGAATGAAATTGGCTCGTCAAACTTTATGGCATGGTATGGTTTACTGGAAGAAGCAATCTTAAAATGCTACAGCCAACAATGTTCTAGTGGGGTCCCAGTCCAGACGGTCGAATTGAAATCTGCTGCAATTAAATTAGCAAATCATATAGACATACCATTCAGACCAAGTGATGGATGGCTCTGGCGCTTTTGGAAAAGGAATGGAATCATGAATAAAAGAATTTACGGCAAAGCTTTAAGTGCACCAAAAGAAGAAATTGAACCTTTTAGGCAAAAATTAATAGAACATATAAGTAACAAAATGCTATTAGAATATCAGATTTACAATGCTGACGAAACTGGTTTATTATGACATACTTTGCCTGAAAGTAACAAACCTCCAAATATGAAAAATCAAATCCTGGAAGAAAAATCAGCAAGGACAGGATCTCGACACTACTTTGTGCTAATGCAGATGGATCGCATAGACTGACTCCTGTCATGGTTGGCATATCCCGTAAACCCAGAGCTTTAAGATATAATGCATAATTTGCCCGTATCATATTATAACTCTAAGAAGGCATGGTTCACTTCAGAGATATTCAAAAATTGGTTCTTTAAAGAATTTGTGTACCTTAGGTCAGAACATGTCAAGAAAAGAAACTGCGAATACCAACAGAAGAGATGAAATGTCTATTGATATTAGACAACGCTCCTGCTCACCCCTCTGAAAATATGTTACATTCAGAAGATGGCAACTTAAGCTGTATGTTTTTGCCAAAAAATACAACATCCCTTATTCAACCCATGGATCAGAGCATCATTTTGGCCACCAAACGAGTACACTACAGAAAGTTTTTAGATGAAGTTATGGTTGCATTGCACAATGAAAATGATACAGAAGACACAAGAGGGCAGCATACTTTGCAAAATTTAAAGTCTTACAATTTAAAATCAACAATTCTCAATTTTGCTGCAGCATGAGAAGAGGTGAAAGAGCAAACACTTTCGACGCCGCTGCTCTAAAGAGGCCAGCAGAAGTGCAGATAACGCACGCTCCTCATAACATGTCACAGATATTGCAGTTTTCTGACTTTAACTGTATTTAAGACCTCTTTATCTTTACCATTCTTCTCAACACCTCGACATTCGCGACTCTATCTACCCAACTTATTCTTAATATCATTCTGTAGGCCCATAACTCGAAGGCTTCCAATTTGTCCAAAACATCTTTCTTTAAAGTCCAAGCCTCCAACCCATAAAATAATACGGAGAACACGTAGCATCTCAGAAGTCTTATCTTTAAAGAAATTGAAAATATCCCTGCTGCAGAGTACTTTTTTCAGTTTGTTGAAAGAATTTCTTGTCTGTCCTATTCTTGCCTTAATCTCTTCTGTGTATTCATTATTTTCATTAATTATTATACTCAAATATTTATATTTTTCAACTTTTTTAATTTGTTCTCATGTATTGTTATGCTTTCTTGGCGCTGTTGGGCTTTTGTAATTACCATAAATTGTGTCTTTTTTGTGTTTAGGGACAGTCCGTTTTCTTCACTGACTTCTACCACTCTGTCAACCATTTGTTTTAAATCCTCAAGACATTCCGCTAATAAAATAGTGTCATCGACAAATCGTATATTATTGATTGGTCGGCCATTTACTTTTATTCCCATAGTTAGTTCTTCTATTGCTTCCTGGATTATTTCCTCTGAATACCTCTTTATCTTTACCCATTCTTCCCAACACCTTGACATTCGCGACTCTATCTACCCAACTTATTCTTAATATCATTCTGTAGGCCCATAACTCGAAGGCTTCCAATTTGTCCGAAACACCTTTTTTAAAGTCCAAGCCTCCAACCCATAAAATAATACGGAGAACACGTAGCATCTCAGAAGTCTTATCTTTAAAGAAATTGAAATGTCCCTTTTCATTTGAAAAGACGTTGTTCTCTTTTACCACAGCGATGTGATTATAATAGATAGCACTAATGATCCTGATATCTCTCATATCTAAGTTTTTCTTTTCAAGTAATTCGATAAGATTGTTATGTCTGACTTTATCGAAGGCTTTGTTGTAATCCAAGAAACACATATATACTGGCTGATTAACATCCATGTACCTTTGCACAAGTACATTAACAGCGAACAGGGCTTCCCTCGTTCCCAGAGCATTTCTAAATCCAAATTGTGTGTCACTTTTGTTCTGCTCAAGTTTGTTGTGTATTCTCCGGTGTATAATTTTTAAAAATATTTTGAGCGTATGGCTCATTAAACTTATTATCCAGTGGTCTTGGCATTCTTTTGCGTTTGTTTTTTTTTTTGGTAGTGTTATGAATGTTGATATCAGCCAATCTCTGGGAATGATTCCTGTACTATATATTGTATTAAATAAGTCGATTAATATTCCAATTTGCTGTTCTTCTATTAACCGTAAGATGCCTACAGGTATTTTGTCAGAACCTGTTGCCTTGTTATTCTTTGTTCGCTTTATCGCCTCTAATACCTCATCTTCTGTTATGTCTGGGCCGTTGTCTAACTTTTCCTGCTTTAGTACTATCTCAGTCCGTTCGTCTTTAAATAGCTCTTGAATATATTCCTGCCATCTTTTAAGTCTTTCACCGACGTCTCGCTCTTGCTCCTTTGTCTCGCTTTTGTGCAAAATTAAAATATAAATTTCATATTTTACAAGTTAATACCTCCGGCCAAACGACAAGATAATCCTAAATGCGGTCCTGTTTGAGATCTACACCTGCTAATGTTTACGTACCCTGCATAGCATATTGAATTTTAGTATAAGTTCTATCACAGAAACTAATTGATTGTTAATTAATTAACTTTTTCCAAATTGAACCTCATTTACAACATAAAATATACAAATATTTATCTATTTATTGTCTAGTCCAGGATATGATGGTGTTCTGTTTTTATATAGATGGATTTGCTTGAAATTGTGACAGTATATAGAAAATATAAAATGTATTTATAAAAAATACCATGGTACTGCTAGTATTGCTAGAATAGTGAATTTTAAGACAAAAATGAGTTTTTCCGAAAAGTTAATCATTGTGCAGTTATTCATGACAAAGTTCACAATGTCAAAAAATCATGTTTTTAAACAGTTTTTCAACAAACTTATCAAAGAGAGAGATTTTTTTACTATTCCCGTCAACTTAATATGAACAAAGTTATGGCTGTTCGAAAATACTTTTATTCATCCTCTACAACCATATAAAATAACCACTGACAAAAGTGATTTGCATGAAAATGAAGGTAAGTTATAACTAAAATAAAGTAAACTTATATTTTTTGACACAGAAAGTAACACTCTCCTTCGCCAAAACAACCCTGGTTGAATTTATTCATTGTTCTTTTACAAGTTATTTATATACAATCATTACATTCTGGAACTTTAACTGGTTTTAGAAGGTTTAGGCTTAAAAAAATCCTGTTTTTTTTTTCGAAATAACACAACTAAAAAATATATTGAAAAAATGCTAGAATACAAAAAACAGCTTTTTTACTGATCATTTTAATTTTTTTTCTTTCTATATAGACTAAAAATTAAACGACATATGATTGCTTAAAGATTGCATTCTTATGGGTTTAGTACCATCATCAAGTACTTCCAGTGCAACCTTTTTAAAACAAAGGACAAGAAATAAATTTAATATCCACCAGTGTGTAGTTTATTTTTAAAGCCAAAAGAAAAGGTGTTTAAGAGACAATATATAGGTTAAATATAATTACTTTTTTGTTACGGTGTGTTCCTAGTACATTACACTGTCAGAAGGTAATCAAAATTTGTTTACTTGTTCTTTTCAAACTAATGCCAACTTCCCCGAATAGTATGTCATAATATAATAATTGTTAATTGATATTTTTGTTTTAGAGTAATGATAAGAGAATATCCAGAAGACATGCACTTATTGTTATTCACAAAAATGGAGTAATCCTTAAATCTGTAAGTATTAATTAATGACGTAGGTAGTCATACATTGCATTTATTGCAAAGAATGAAATAATTATATTGTTTAATTAAATTATCCCCCTCCTCGGTCACTCCCGGAGTGCCACGTTGCATTTTTTAAATTAATTCCAATGAGTAAAGCAATCTGTCCACATGGGCAATAAGCATTTATTTTTTTCAATATTTTTGTGATTTCAAAAATTCTGAACTTAATACAGCCACTGAGACCTTATATGTTAAAGGAGCTCAGGGTAACATAACCTTACTCATCAAATTTCAAACAGAAACTTAACACAAACAAACAAAAAACAATTCCTGATCTTGTTAGTACGCTAGAATTGCTTTTGAGCACATACACCAAAGAATTATTTTTTACAATTTGAAAATTCGAAATTGTGAAGTAAATAAGTAAGTCTCAAATAACGCCTCACTAGAGCTCAACAAAAGAAGATGAGAAAAAAGGCAAAAATGGTTTCTGGGACATGGACCATAGCAAATCCCAAGAAAACCATATCAGCAATACCTGAGGATAAAAAGAAACTTCGGTAGAATACCACCACCCCCCTCGTAACAAAAGTGCAAAGAAATCAAGGGGCTCTAACGAGCAGGGACTAGGCCATAAAGCACCTTGGCAAAAGTATTCAGAATGTTGGTAGCACACAGACACCATACTGATTCTCAACTAGATCGGGCTCAAGCAAATTTGATCATTAACAACTGGAGCAATCACTTGATGGGGCTCCTATCGGAGGTCAAAATGAACTTCTGCAGTTCCATAAAACATCGTTTAGCGAAGAGACTCTGTGGGTGACTTGTGTTAACGAGTATACAAAAAATGGACGTCTGAAGTGGTAAAGACTATTGAGGGCCTGTGGGAGGGAGCAAACTTAAATATAACTGATCCGAGAAAGAACTACGAAGAAACCATCAAGAGCCGTCTAAAGAGGCAAAATCAAGACTTTAACACAGAAGACTGGTTGTGATCTCTGTTCCACAGACTGAACGACAGTAACGTTAAAGGCCATAGAGGGAGGAATTATGAAGGAGATAGTTCTCAGATCAGCAACACTAAGTTAACATTTGGCTTCATTTTTGAAACCAATAATTTATTCATTCGTTCATATATGAATAAAAAAATCAGTTATGATTATGAAGATTATATTATAGTAAATGTCATAAATTTTATAAATATAATTTATTTTTGATTTTTAATTAATGTCATCAGTTTATTTTCAATTAAGTATAAATCAATTTAAGACTATATTGTAATAATTTCACCAATATTTATTCATTGTGAAAAGTATGTTTTACTATAGAAAATGTCACACGGAGAATGCAGTACGGCTAATATAGGAATGCACAATTGCCGGATTTCACGCCTTGTGCTTGGCGATACAAACAGGTCCAAGTGGTAGTCACAGAACCGTACCCAGATCTCTACGCCGGGTCTGTTATTTATTATAAAATAATATATTGATAAAATAATTGCCTTCAAGTATCCAAATAAGAGGCATGAATTTGAATAAAAAAACCTTAAGTTTTTTATCGAGAATTTTATTATAAAACTGTATACTTTATTAAACTAACAAATGTATATTAAATTACATTTTTTGATAACTATAAATATACCGGGTGCAACCTCCGGTAACTCGATTTCCGTGCACCCAGCCCAATATCCAAGAAAAACTTTTTCTTTTGTAAATATGGGAAAAATTATCAGGAACGGGAATATCGAAAAAACTTTGTACATTTTTTAATCCCGGCGATGTTATTAAAAAACAAGTTGCGCACTTGAATCACTGCGAAATTTTAACACCTACTATGAAATTTTTTTTTGTTGTGGAAATCTGAAGTGCAGTTTTTGTCCTTGTTAAACATAATGCAGTCTCGCATTTTTTTTATACACAACATAAGTTTACCTAGTTCCTTGGCATAGCAATCTGATAGTTTTCAGCGAAACCTTGTGTTATTCCATATGCGATAATGGTTTTCCTTGCCCACACTTGATCAGATGAGCAGGTATAAGGGTTTATAGTGTAAGTTATTTAACATTATATTATATTTATACTTTATTAAACTAACAAATATATTTTAAATTACATTTCTTGATAGCTATAAATATACAGGGTGAAACCTCCGGGAACTCGATTTCCGTGCACCCAGCCCAATATCCGAAAAGCCCATACTCTGATTGGACTGGTAAATGCATTTTAATGGTTATACAGTGTAAAATAATCGAGGTTACTCACAGATATTCAATTAATTATACTAAAGTCGTCCTCTACATCCGAGATGTCGGATTCGCTTTCGCTACTCTCCCCTGTGTTCGCGTGTATTATCAATTGGTCTACATCATCTTGCAGGTTGTCTGCAGTACACATCTCAGTTTCCATTTTCTCAACAACATCAGTGACATAATTGCGCCAAATTTGCTCTGTGACGCGTGCGAAACCGTCGTCGATCAACTGGCGTACCTCGTCGTTTTTAAAAGTGGTATTATGGGTACCTACATATCGCTTAACTTGGTTCCACACCATTTCTATAGGATTCAATTCGCAGTGATATGGAGGAAGCCTTAACATATAAACATTGTGTTGTGAAGCATACTCATCAAAATGATACTTATCGTATTGATCTTTAAAAGCACGCGCTGCTTCTAATAGCTCGGATTTCAAATAATACTCCTCGAAAAAAATGTCTTTTTCCACTAGCCATTCCTTGATTGCAGCTTTATTCCAGGAATTGTTAGGGAATCTCTCTTTACGGGAGTGGTACGATGCATTGTCCATTACAATCACATTCCTGCGACCATTATTTGATAAATTTTCTATTAATGTCTCCTTAAACCAAGACTCAAAATATGCGGCATCCATTTCATCGTGATAGATCCATTTTTCTTTGCCAGAAAAACACGCTGTGTGCCAGGAAGGAAACCTCCTGAAAAACGTGCATGCAATAAAACATATCGTGGACCTCGTTTAGTAGGTGCTTTTAAGCCAGTACTTAAACCTTTGAGAAAAGCATTACGACTGTTTTGTATCGTAGTATCGCACCATTCGTAATTTATAGATTGGCCAACATTAACCCACGATTCGTCCAAATATATGATATTGCAATGGTCTTTTCGCAAACGTCGTATAGTTCTCAAATAATTATGGCGCCAATGAATAATATCCTCTCGCTCCACCATGATGCTTTTTCGGCCACGTTTCTTATAAACAAATCCAATATGTTTCAGAAGTCTGTATAAAGTAGAAAGAGACAACGGCTGTATATTCTCATTACCTTGTATGCAGTTATGTATATGCCTTAAGAATGGCGGCAATTTTCCATGAAAAATTCACAATGAACAATTCTCCGTAGAATACTTCTTACACCGTCGTCATATGTGAATATTCTAGAATTTGATTGATACACTCGTTTTTTACGTTTTTTAGCGATTTCAACGTTCCACTCTGTTCTTTTTCTTTTTTGAAATTGTAAATGCTTCTTTCGCTAACACCAGTCATTAACGAAGTACGTCTTACAGCAGCACTTACATTAAGTTGTTCCGTATTTTGTAAAAAACACTAACACTACGATTTTAGCGCAACCGTTAAATAAGTCACCGGATTTAAACTTATGGGACTCCATGCTCTCTGTTGAAACTCGGACTAAATTTTGTAGTTTCGTTTTTCCAAAGCACTTTCACTCCTACCCATCCTTAGGATGGGTACTCCTACCCATCCTTAGGATGGGTAGGGGGTGAAATAGGGAAAGCTTGGAGTTTATATCAACTACTAATTATGACAAACAAGTTTATGGCCATATTTAGGTGATTATGTTAATGATGGTAATTTGTAGCAGAAGTTTTACAAAAGAAATGAACACCTATTTATAGAAACAACATAACTGTATTTTAATATTATACATACAATAGAAAAAATCTAATTTCTATGAAAGAATTGGAAATTTGAATATATAATATCTATAAATAACATAATTTCCAAGTTTCCAAATTCTTCCCTAGAAATTATGTAGGTTTTTTCTATTTTATGTAAAACATTACAACTACAGTTATTGTATGTTGTTCTTGTAAAGAGGTGTTCAAATGTTACTCTTATGAATATGATTCAATTGTATATCTCATGTTGACGTTTTATATGCAAAATCATAGTTTTCGTTGTCAATAACTCATCAATACCTTTTGTTCTACTGTATACGTATCCATGATATAAAAATATTTTACTCGTACTGCCGCAGATGCATTTTATCCAAGCCGGTCCTGTGAGATAATGTGCAATCAACAGCTGGAGAAAACCGACAACCCTGCGCGTTTATTCTCCATAAGAAAAGCATTGCCGTATCTTACTCGTACTGCACTCTTAGTGTGACATTTTCTATAGTAGTTGTTATTTTAAAACAAGAATAAATAGTACCCATACAGCGTAAAAACTTTCACATTTACTGTTCATTAAAAGTTACTGTTAAATATTTCAAAAATAATTCAGGAATGCTTTTTGTTATTAAAAGATTATCGATCAAAAGGAAGTTTTAAAGTTTCAGCGAAATGGAAAATTTCAAAATTTAGTAAAAAGTTTCATTGAATACTTTATTGAATAGGACAATACTTCAATGAAATAATTTCGAAAATAGTCTCAAAAGTTTAATGAAAAGTCCTGAGAAAATGAAATTTTTGGATTAATATATTTTGAATATTTTTTAAAATTTTTCGTAAATTTTTGGTCAGGAAAACAGTATATAAAAAGTTACGTGACGGTTTTTCGTAGTGTTGGGACAAACCTATTTTGAATTCAAAGTTATAAAATTTTATTTAGATACATGTAATAAAAAAAATAATTGCTTTGAATATTGTAAATTTTGTAGTTTAAGTTTTCAAATTAAAACTTTAACAGTTTAATATATTAAAAATAAAGATTTTATTGTGTAAAAAACAAAAGAAAACAGTTTGCAAATCAATGGCGTCGAAATTTGATTAAGAGTGGATGCAAAAGTTAAATAAATAGCTCCGTTCACACTTTTTCCCCACTTCCCCCAACTATATCTTTCATGATGGTTTTGATAGCGTTAAATGATAGACGCTCGAGGAGTCCGATATGAGAGACGCGTCTAGTTAAATGGTGGCGTGTATATTTTTAAAATAAGGGAAATAATAGGGAACTTGCACATAAAAATATTTTTGCGTCAACGGTCAAATTCTTAATTTATGTTAAATATTTTGTTAAAATTTTATGTAAAAATATTATATTCAAAATATTACGTCTTAACAATTAATTGTGTAAGCCAGATGTACACACAAAATTTTCATTCATTTATACTATTTTTAGTTCTGTTTAAGAAATATGTACATGTTTATTTTACATCTCAAATACTAAATTATACTTACTTACTTAATTAAGCCTTAAGCCTCCTCGTGTACCTTACGGTGTCGAGGTGCTAAATTATATTATACTTTAAATCCAAAACTTTCTTCACTTATAATAATGAAATGTTACGAATATACTTCTGGTTCGTAATAATTTGTAATAAGCAAAACCTATCATTTATAAATATCTTAAATTCATAACAAACAAGAAAGAAAATAACTTAAAAATATAAACGAAACTTTTAGTAATAAACGTAAGAATAACAAATAACTATTGTATCGCCTTGCATTTCCCCAATAGAATATCTTCCACTGCTTTTTATAAAATTTTCCACCGTTATTAAGACATCAAACTGTAGATGAATTGTCAGATTAATCTTTTGAAAATCCCTCGTTAGTCATAATACTCATAATAAACTTCACACGACGTAGCATTTAAATTGAACAATTTCCAAGAACACAAATATAATACCCAGGAATTTCCAATTAAATATGATTAAAATGGAAGTAATAGAATTTCCGAAACAACCTTGTTTTTTCTTTTGAACTTTTATTCACAATCAATTTCTACATGAGAGTTTTAAGTACATGTGAATGAATTTGTAAATAGGTAATAGTTTCGAAATAACTTAGTCGCTTTGTTATCGACTTCTAGCAGGTAGAATGTACATTATTATTAGTTTTTTAATAAAGTTCATATTCAAATATAAATACCAACTGCTTTACAGAAAATAATAATTCTAAAGCGGTTATATTTTGTATGGCTTGGTTTAATAATAATTTGACATCTTTTAATTTAAAGTTTGTATTCTTTTGCGCTACCTCATTTTTTATTTGTGCCCATATCAGCTCGATGGGATTCAATTCACAATGATACGGTGGAGTTCTTAATACGGTGATGCCATGCTCACGTGCCATTTCGTCTAGTGCAAATCTGAGGTATGAACTCTTATGTTCGCGCACTATATCAAGTAATTGAACCTTTATCATGGATTCATCAAAATCTATATTTTTACTTCTTAACCAATCTATTATATCTGCCTTTCGAGATGCAGAAGTCGGTATTTTTTCCATACGACGGCTGTGATAAGGTGCATTGTCCATTATAATTACTGAACCAGGATGTACAAGAGTCTGTATAGACGAAAACCACTTTTCAAACACATCCAAATTCATATCACCATGATAATCGCCCGTTTTCAACGGTCCAACTGAATCACTTCCAATGTGCGTTATAATGAGACGTCTTCCTTTGTCCGAAGGTGCTTTTGAGCCAGTTGAAAGCCCCTCAATGAAAGCCTGTCGCGCATTTTTAATATTCAAGTCTTGCCATACTTTATATTTCGTATGACCCTTATTCAACCACGTTTCGTCCGTATAATAATTTTTTTTACAAAGTCGTCTAAAATTACGAATTTTTTGCAAATATTTTCTACGCCATATCACTTATTCGTCTCTCTCGATCAACAAATTTTTCCGATTTCTCTTCACATACCGAAAGTCCATTTTATGTGAAGTTCTTTGTAATACTCTCATGGATATTTTATTTAAAATATCATCCGCGTCTGCATTAACTTCTCGTCGAATATAGGTTTGTTACCTTGAATTATTCGGAAAACCGTACGAGCCGATACTTTCGCTAAATCTCCACACAATGCCGCGACGTCCTCTATAAGCATATCTTGATATTTTCTACGCAATCCCTTATAAACCGATTTTATCATTTCATTTTCTCTCACAGATAACCACCTTTTTCTATTTTATTTATTAAAACATATGTACTGGACGTTGATTTTGATGCCATGATGTTACCCGATGGTACGCTCATGAAATACTACCAGGCATCTGATTTTAATGGTTATTTGTGGGTGAGTTTTCACAATGTTGCCGTATTGCATTAAGAATATTACTCTCGAAAAGAAATAACGGTGTCCGCCTGTCTCTTTATTCGCACTCATGGTATACCTAAATGGCACGGATAAGCTGCAAGCGGTACTAAATAATAAATTTCGCAACAAGGCGCGTCTACCTTCTCTAGTTCGGACTTCCAACAGATGTAATCGTCAAAAATGATAATTGAGAAGTGGATTTGTGTGCTAATAAAGAAATAAATATATAGCCGCTTACCACCGAGTGTTAACGAACTACAAAACGCCTGCCCTGACAATCATATTGAATTCAGGGTATAGCCCCCTCTAAAGGATTGTTTTGAAGTATAATAACGTTAACCAACTCGTAAATTTGAACTGTTCTTCTATACGCGTCTATATTCTTTGATTGTAAGTTGTAACTCGTTGTTAATTTGTTTTTTATTTTTGTGGGTTTCACGTCAACAACGAGAACGGTTTATTTAAATTTGTGGTAGCAAAAGAATATTAATGTATGTTAATTCATTTTAGGCTAATGAAAATCCCACCTATTTCAAATCACCTTTGGGAGTTACTGTACAAATGTTACACAAAGGTGAAACTTTATCTCTAAACAATGGTGATAGATTAGCCCTAGTAGAAGATGGTGTCTGGTTTAAAATAAAAATTATACTCGAAAACAATCTTAATGAAGGTATCATGGTTGATAGATACAGTGAAATTCACAGTAAAAGATCCATTGATGAAGATAATATGCAATTTTCAAAGAAGATCAAACTTGAACCAGAAGATGTTTGCCATTATTGTGGTAATTCATCATGTGATCATGACAAAGGTAGCACCGAAGAGTTAAATGAAACATTGCCCAATTTCAATTCAGACAGATTAAGCTTAAACGGTAATTCTTTGTGTAACCACAATAACTCAAAATTAAATACTTATTTACTTAATAATACTTAACAGAATTTTTTACAGCCGGAAACAATGCAGATTCAACTACCAAACAAGCTGCTTTAAACCAGTCTAGTGTAACAAATACTAGTGTTTCTAGTCATACACCACCAACAGCAGATAACACTCCTGACTCTTCCAATGATACTGCATTAGAAATTAAAGAAGAACCACCAGAAACTTCTAATTACGATAACAGTATACCTTCATCTTCCAAACAAACAAGTGTACCATGTAAAGATATAAATAAGGAACCATCAGAAGGTACAATAACTTATTCAGGCCAGTCTGATGAGATTGTCCGTTCAGGACCAAGTAATCAAGTAACTGAAGTAAAGACTGAACCGATTATACAAGATGAACACACATCACATTCTGACGACGATAGTGTTTCTACTTTAGAAATGGAACAAGAACCACCAGAACCCACATCACACTGTGACGATAGTGTTTCTACTTTAGAAATGAAACAAGAACCACCAGAACCCACATCACACTCTGACGATAGTGTTGCTACTTTAGAAATGGAACAAGAACCACCAGAACTACCTAATAACGGAATAATTGCCCCTTCTATAAATGAGTCTACAGGAGCAAGCGCACCACCTTTGATAAAACGTGAAGAAATTAAAGTGGAACATCCAGGATCAAGTAATTCTACAATTAGAGTAAAGACTGAAGCAGCCCTAAAAGAAGAATCGAAATCAAATACCGATAATCCAGAAACAAACTTAAATATACCTGCGAATAATCCAGTAGCAGTATTGAATAGAAGAAGAGATAGATGTTGGTATGGCAGGCAGTGTTACAGGTAAATAAATATACATCGGCGCAGACTTGCAATTAAATCTGTTAAAACTGTTAAATCGCATTGTCGTACGGATTTGCTAAATGTCAAAGTGCTTGTCAAAAATTTCGCGTGTATTGAAAAATAAAATAAAAAGGTATTAAATGCGTCCAAAATGCCTAGAATACCGTTTCTGTCCGGATCCGCCACTGGTAATTTCACTTTGACATAAAATATGCGTTTAAACGAGGTAAAAATTCAAAAAAATCTGCTACTAGATATGTATGTAAACTATTCAATGAACGCAGCTGTACCTACGGTATATTTTTTGAATGAAACCTAATATGCAGTTAATATTAGAGTTTTTTTGTTAATAAACGAATTGCAGCTATAATACATGTGAACAAACGTTACAATTTTAGAATCACAATTATGGTATTTAGGTGAGTTAATACTTGTTAAGAATAAAACAAAAAAAAATCGCGTTAAAAATATAACAATAAAATATATTAATTTATTTTGTAACGGCTATATCACAGGTAAGTTCTGTGTACAAACACAGAGGATAATAACTTACATAGCAGTAAATAACAATGCTTTTATAAACAACCATTGAGTTGACAAATATATTCAATCAATTTTTTGGCAACAACTATAAAATCGGACTGATTGCCACTGATGATCAGATGGAGAATTCCTTGAACAGATGTTTAACCGTTTGTCTTACAGCACCGCCATCGAAATTTGGGGAGGGGTGTGAATCAGAGCATTTGTCACAGTTCGTTCTTACTCTGATCAGCGTGGCCCTTCTTGGTTGGTCGAAGCCATCTGGCTTGCTTGTATTACATGGAATATTCCGGTTGACAATCAGTGCATTCTTCTCGCCAATGCCAACGGTTGGTTATCTTGAAGTTTGGCATGCCGGCTATTGAGCCACACCGGTGCACAGTACTCCTCAATGGGATACACGAATACCAGTGCTGCCGATTTAAGTGTAGTTGCTGAGGAACCCCATGTGGTGCCGCACAACTTTCCTTCTTCTTCTTTTTATGTAGACATGACTTTGTCTTTTTTTCAATGTGCCTCCAGTAAGTTGTGGTTCCATCGCTTTCGTGGTCTTCCTATTCCTACTGATCGTCTTCCTGCTGGGGAACCGTCTCTTGCCGTCTTTACTACTCTATTTGTTGTCATTCGGCTTATGATTTGCCAAAGACGGCCGTCTTTGATCCTTCCATTCTACTCTTCTATTTCTTACCCAGTTCTTGATGTTCTCCACCTTGCATCTACGCCGTATATATGTACTTCTAGCTCTGTCCCATAGTGTCTTGCCATCAATTTTTCCAAATCTTTTCATCTCTGCTGTTTCTAATATCTTTTTTATCCTTCTCTGTGTCAGGTCGAGATTCTGCCGCGTATGTCATTATTGGTCTGATGACTGTTGTAAACTCTACCTTTCATTTCTTTCCCGATATTTTTATTTCTCCATATTGTTTCATTGTAGCAGCCTGCGGCTCTGTTTGCTCTATTCACTTGATCTTCCACTTAAGTTTCGAGCTTTCCATAGCTAGATAATGTGATGCCTAGATATTTAAACTCCATCACATCATCCAACATCTTCTATTATCTGAAAGTAGTATTGCGTCGTCTGCATAGCAGATTATTTTAAGCTGTTTTTCTCCCATTTGGTATCCTTTTTTACTTCTTACTTTTTTTAATATTTCATCCATAATCAGATTGAACAATAGAGGACTCAGAGAATCTTCCTGTCATCCCATTGCCAGCTTCAATAGGGTGGGTTAGTTCTTCCACTTTTACTTTTATTGTGTTGTTTAGGTAAATATTTTCGATCGTTTTGATTATTCCTAGAGGTATCTCTCTTGCGTACAATAATTGGATAACTTCCTTTAATTTGACCTGGTCAAATACCTTCTTAAGGTCCACGAAACATAAATATGCTTTCTCTTGCACTTGCCTCATTATAAATATAGCGTCGGTGCATGATATTCCCGACTTGAAACCTTGTTCTTCTGCTAGTGTTATAATTTCATTATTTGTTATCACTTTGGTTGTTAATTTTAGTGTTGTGTTTAATAAATTAATTCCTCTGTAATTTTCCGGGTCTGATTGGTTTCCCTTTTTCACGAGAGGTATTAAGATCTCCATTCTTGAGGAATTTTGTTTTGTTCTATTATTTTTTGGATTAGTTTTAATAGTTGTTTGGTCAGATCTGGTCCTCTGTACTTTAGGAGTTCGTTCGGTATTCTGTCCTCTCCTGGTGATTTTCTATTCTTTAATTTTCTTAACGGTTCCTTTACCTTTTCTTTCTCAATATTTATTTCTTCGTTTGTCGACTTATCGTCACCTTTAGCAAATAGGGATCGAAAGTAGTCTACCCATATTTCCTTCTGAATGTGTTTCGTTTTTATTAGTTCGTTTATCTCTATTCTTTATCCTCTGATCATTCTCCATATTTCTTGTTGTGTTCCGAAGAAATCGTGTTCCATCTGTTTTGAAAAGCTCTGTCAGTGTTCCCTTTTTATTTGTCCAACAAAAATATTCGTTTCATTTCTGATTGGTTTATAGTGATTATATGTCTGTTGTGTTTGTTGTGTTCTGTATTGTAAAAAGGCTTTCTTCTTTTCTTCACATTTTGTTTTCACTTCCTCTCTTTACCATGGTGTTTTCTTTTTTGATATGTTAGTGTTTGTTACTTTCCTCTCACCAATTGATTCTGTTGCTACGTTAATTATGTTATTTTTGAATTTTTCCCATCTTACCTCGATGTTATCGTGATCTAATATTTTATTCCCAGCGATCTTCTCCGATATTCTTTTTCTGTATACATATTCCGTGGATTCCCTATTTAAGCCTTCGACTTTGATTTTTGTTTGGTGTTGGTGCCGCTCTCTTGTGTGTGAAGTATGTCAGGATGATTCTTATTTTCATAATATTAGGCTATGGTTGCTACCTACAGAAGTTTAGCATCAGTTCTCCATTTTCGTTTTTAACATCCTCGTTACGTTTTTGCTTATTTCCGGGTAGTACTTGATTGCCTATTCGAGCGCTAAAATCCCCCAATATTATCATCTACCCTCTGACTTACTCTACTACGTGTTGTAATTAGTCATAAAACGTTTCCCTTATTAACAAAAAGAGAAATCATACGATTTCTCCCCTTCGAAATCGAATTCAAATATAATACCGTCATTTGTTTCCCTTATTGTTTGATGCTTGATATTTTCTGGGTCGTTGCTAATCTTGCCAATTACCCTCCACATTTTATCCGGGCTTGAGACCGGCTGTTTTAACCACAGAGCTACTTAATCCACCCCGCAATCACCCCAGGAAGTGTTGCACAACTGCACAACTTTTACACAATATTATAACTTCACCTTTCCTGCAGAGCAAAAAAACTACCAGAACTCCCAGCAGAAGGAAATCAAGGGATACAGTTTCAGTGGATGATCACGACGTTATGAGTATGTTCAAGAAGATGATGGGAGAGTTGAAAGAAATCAGTAATGAAAATAAGGGATGATAGCGCTGAAAAAAATAAAGTATAAAGATAAAGCAAGAATTGGAAGAAAAAAAACAAATTAACCCAGGCTGAAAACAAAGTAGAAAGAATTGAAACACAGATGAAAAGAAATAACATAGTAATTACCTGGGCTACCAATAGTCGCAACAGATGAAATACTCTTAAAAGATTTTGTACAAAAGCACCTAAAAGAGGATTTCGAAATAGAATCTGCAATGAAGTTAGGAGAAACAATATATATCTAATCTGACAGTGAAAAGGAAATACACAAGAGGCAGGAAATTGTAAATAAAGGAAAGGAATTAAGATCTGATGGTAAAAACGTACAAATAAATAGGGTAAATAGGTAAAAAAGTAGGGTACAAAAAACTAACTGGATGGCATACAATGAGAATGGGCGGGAAATGGCACTTTCAAACTAGAACATTCTAGAAATATTTAACTAAAAAACGGCACACAGCAATGGAAAAAGAAGATCCAATATGCTGACGGACCCTAGCGATGAACAGGAAAATGAGTTTGAACATAAATATCGAAGCAAATAATAAGCATACGTACCCAAATATTGCGATATGGAATGTACGAGGAGGGAGTCTTAATTAACCTGATAGAACAACTTAAGAAATATAAAATATACATCATAGCAATACAAGAGACACATTTGACTGGAAACAACATTGAAAATATTACACGTTTATATACACGTTTTATACATACACGTTTTATACAAGTGGAGGCGATAATGACATTTTGGAGTGGGTTTTCTGTTACATAAAGACGTGAAGCAGGTAAAACGATATGTAAAAAAAATCAGAATGTGTACAATTATAAATAAAGGAAAAGAGAACATGAGATCGCTGATAGATATACTCCCCAACAGAAGAAAAAGAAGAAATTAAAGATGATTTTTAGAAGAATTGGAGTTATTGTCTGAAGAAATACCCAGACAAAATATTAAAATTATTATAGGCGACGCCAACGCAAAGTTATATAAAAACATATTAGGGGGCGAAAGTAAACATATGAATACAAATGATAATGGCCAAAGATTGATTACATTCGTAATTGAAAACAAGATGAAAATAATGAGTACAAATTTCAGAAGAAAGAATATACGACTATACAGGGTGGTGAATCGTCAAACGGGCCATAGGAAACTCAATGGAAAATTTTTTAATTGTTGAATTCTTGCTTCCCTAATTATTTTACACCAAAAGTCATGGGAAACTATTTATAGAGGACTCAAATATGTATCGAAAACAACTGTTAAAATTATTCTACGACTTACGTATTCCAAAATTTTGCTAAAATATAATACATTTTTCTGTGAAAAAATGTGTAATACGTGTTGCGTTTTGTCATATTATTGTTTCTGATATTTGACAATATTTAAATCAATTATATTATATTTATCTATGATTTAAATGACCAAAATTTTGTGATTTATTGTTTAAACAAAAATTAAGTTGATTACAAAATGTACTCAGTTGAGGAGAAAAGAGCAATAATAAAAATGTTTTATTCATATTTTATTATAACATTTGTTATAGTTTTATGTTTAGAAATTATCATATATTATTATTAGAAATAAAGATCACAGTAACAGTATATTGGAATTCATTGAATTGTTGTATAACTTAATTTAACATGGAATTAAATTTTAGTGAATTAGAATTATCTTACGTTAAATAAAGATCCGGTAGTGACAGGAAAAGGTTCGCGCTATTGCCTGAATACAACATTATGCGATTTTTCGTCAACTGAGTACATTGCATTATATTGATCGATTTGTAAACAATATAATTTATTGTTCACAAAGTAATAATGTTCAAAGTAATAGTAGTAGTATTTAGTAAAATTCATTGTTTATAATTGAATCATAAAATAAAAAAAAATTGACAATTCAAATTGTCAAACATCTTACATCAATATGATAAAACACGCACGTTATAATATATATTCTTGCATTACGTGTGGCCTAACTTTTAGGGGTGACCTGAAAAATGTATTATATTTTTGCAAAATTTTGAAGTACATTTGATTCGTAGAACGGTTTTAACATTTGTTTTTAATTCAGATTTTAGTCCTCTACAAATAGTTTTTTATGACTTTTGATCTAAAATAATTAGGGAAGCAGCAATTCAACAATTTAAAATTTCTCATTGAGTTTCCTATGGCCCGTTTGACGATTCACCACCCGGTATAAAGGAATGTGGAAAATTCATTTCCTAGTTCTACAATGTTTCTCTAAAGAAAAAACAGATAAGCGAACGACTCTTTCCGCAAAGCGACATTTTGTTCACTTTGTCCACTTTTTGCTTTTTGCAAAACTGACTTCAGTTTTGTTTTACTAAATCAGAGTGCATTACCCACACACGTTTATGAACAGAACAGATAAAACTGTAGCAAAGGGCCCTTATTGGTTTTCTCATCAGTAAAATAAACATCTAGATTAAATGTAAAGTTATCTACATGTAAAACACGTCTCGGCATTTTTGGCTTCAATACACACACAAACACATTCTTTGAAATTAGAATTAGACAGTAGATCCTTTTTACTGTAATAATTAGAGCAATTTGCTTTCGTGCTTCTGATGTTGCACCGTAAACTATTCGTTGTCGCGATAATCCAAAACAGTCGTATATTCGTGCAATAGACTGTATAGTTCAATATGTTATCTGTTTAACAGATGAAAATGACTCCAAGGGCATTTATTTTTCTAATTCTAAATATTCCTACGTTTTTAATACAAGTTGTTGTGCTTGAAAAATAAATGATTTACCAGGCATACTCTAAAAATAAGACCCTTTAAAAATATTTCATATCACTCCGTTAACGTGGTTTTAGCCAAATCTTAATAACTAAATGTCAATTTAGAGGATAGTCACGAAAAAAGATTGAATATTTAAATGACACGAAAATTATTTATAAAGAAATTACAAACGCTGTCAAAACAAAACTTACAATTATTGCCAGTAGGTGAATCAATCACCGATTATCGTTCTATGGCTGCTTTTGTTCGCTGTATAGTGTTGTGTATGGACAGTCGGCTTAAGTTCATCGATTTAGTTTCTGTTAGTAGGAAAAATACGTAATATAAAAAATAATTCGTGGATAATGTCATACTTTTATGAAAAGATGTAACGGATGGACTATACATTATACGCACATAATTGTATTACCAGCTCTTTTATTACTTTTATAAATTTGTAATACTACTTATAAAGCCAATATAGTTTTTCTCTTTAAAGAGAAAAAGCTATTTTGGCCTCAGTCTTTTTCCAATATTTGGTCACAAATTATTGTATTTTTGAAGTACACATAGAACAATTATAAAGCAATAGTTGTTTTTAGGAACAACCCTCTGCACAAACTAAGTTTAAGCCACCCCGGCGATCCTGACTACGATAGTGATACTGAATTAAATCAACAACCTTGCCCATATGGTCTACAGTGTTATCGAAGAAATGTATTACATAGACGTCTGTACAAGCATTATGGACCTCCAGCTGAAAGACCTCATCAACTTACGTTTGCGTTGCTATAGTGTAATCTAAAGACAGAAATATTTGTTGGATATACCAAGTAGTTTTTTATTGGATATGAATTGAGATAATATTTTGTGATATATGTCAATAACTTAGATTCATTTTTTGGAAGAAGAAATTGTTGCCACATTTATCTATATTTCTAACTCCCTTCTATATCCGATATTTTATTTTTGTAATATCTACTACTTATATGTACTTGTTATTGCTAGAGCTTATCAGCTACACTATATTTTGATATCGTTCACAATGGATCATTTGATCCTTTTTAATACTAGTTTTAATTGTTACTTTTATAGAAATATATTTTTTAAAATTATTTTTAAGACAAAAAAATTTAAAGTTTATAGAAAAACTGAATAAAATTTCTAAAAAATGTATGTGTATGTTTTCCCTATTTCGTGAATAGGAAAAATTATAATTTTCTCTTCAGATCTCTGTTCCACAGACTGAACGACAGTAAAAATAAAAGTCTAGAGGGAGGAATTATGAAGGAAATAGTTCTCAGATAAGCATATATAGTAGCCTCGTATTTCCGTGAGACTGTGTAAAAATACATGTATCTGTAATAAAATCATTCAATAAAATAGTACTCTACCAGAGTCTGTAAAATTATCAATGACTCAGACGTATAATAATACAAAGATTTAAGATTCCACTCGATATTAACATTCAGACGTGCCTGGTATAATCTTTTAAGATATGAACAGTCAACCAATTAAGTTTTCATCGAACCTATGATAAGTCCACGTGGTCTAACGGCCAATGAAAACATCGGATATCGTTGTTATGACAAATCAATATGCATTATCTTTTGACGGTAGACTTATTCATACTTGGGGTAAGATTATATTAGTATTTGACTGAGCTTACGGAGCCATAAAAAAAAAGTATCAGGTTTCGACCGTCCAGTGTCGAAGGGACGGAGAACACTTAGGTAGGCAAATTTTTATATTTTATTTTTAAATTGCGGATATGACCAACAGATTTTTGGGAGACAAGAATATTTTTAGTATAATCGTAACTACTACAGCATTCAGCTAAATTCAAATTTCAAATAGTGAACCGCAAGTTAGTTTGGTAGTGACTTTTTTCAGTGTTCTTTCTACGGAAAACTTTTTACATTTTACGTTATTTACTTTTTTTGATACATTTTTACGTGATTTTGTTTTTATACGTTTGATACTTTTAAAATATTGCGTGCACGGTGCGATAATAATTCTGTAGCTGAAGAGACAATGGAATCCTCTAATCGATTGGAAGATTTACAAAGGCGTGTAGTAAAACGTAAGCGACATTTTCAATACCTTTCTGATGAACGTATGCTAAAAAATGTTTATGAAGGACTGTGCTGAATTGTCTAAATCAGAGGCAATTGCAGAAACATGTTTTTTTTAACCAGAGTGCCCAAAGCAACCTGCTACAAAATTATAGGAGAAACATCTTCTTCTACACAGAAGAGAAAGGATTGTGGCAAATTCAGAAAAATAGAATCGCACCTAATTGAATCTATAACTAGAACAATATACCAAATGTATGCGGCTAATATTTTTCCAACTATTGAAAGCCTTCGAAGTGAATTAGTTCGAAAGGGCATTCTCTCGTGTTCAGCAACAACACTTCGATTATTTCTTAAAGCCAATAATTTTAAGTACAAAACTATAGCCAAAAGACAGACATTAATGGAAAGTACTAGAATAATTTCTTTAAGAAACAATTATATCAGACAGATAACTGAGTATCGAAAAATGAAACGAAATATTGTTTATTTAGATGAGACCTGGTATGATACTCATGACACCGTGAAAAAACGTTGGACAAATAATAACAAAAAGTGCTTTAACTCAGTAACGCCCAATAAAGGAAAAAGGATTATAATTTTACACTGCGGGGAAGAAAATGGATGGGTCGACGATGCATTATTAATATCTGCAAAACAAATTAAAGACGCGTCTCTGGATTATCATGACGATATGGAAAGTGCAATTTTTGAATCATGGTTTGAAAAATCTCTTCTTCCGACATTACCTAAAGATAGTGTGATTGTCATGGACAACGCATCATATCATTCGAGATTAATGAAAAAAAACTCCAAATAATAGTTGGAATAAATTACAAATTCAGGAATTTTTATTCACGGAAGATTTGTATTTTGAGGCTTCTTATACTAAAAAGCAATTGTTGGAGGTTGCTCATGGTAAACAGTACGAAAAGGAATATGTTGTTGACAACTGTGCTCGTAGTAACGGGCATACTGTGCTTAGACTTCCTCCTTATTATTGTACATTGAACACAATAGAGTTAATATGGGCTCAACTTAAAGGAAATATAAGGAGAAGAAACGTTGCTCCAAAATTTTCGTCTACTGTTCTCCAGTTAATTAGAAGAGAAGTTACAAAAATCACAGCAAACAACTGGAAAAATGTAATAAAACATGTGATCGAAGTGGAAAATGACTATGTTAAATATTTACCAGCATTAACCAAATTAACTATAAATTTAGATGATACGAGTGATACTAGTGATAACAGTGACTCTGAGTAGATAGTAAGTACTTATTAAATGTTAGTTGAAACCTTTATTTCTATTTTAATTGTAGATATTCTCATTTTGCTTATATATAATATATATATATATATATATATATTATATATATATATCTTTGAAAACAAGGTATAAGCAGACTTCTTGATAGAACAAAAATTATTAACGTTTTAGAGAAGTATGTTAACTAAAACTGTCACTGTCACAGTGGCATTTGTTAAACTCGTCCGATACGTCTTAAAGGTGGGAAACCATAAGTAGAATGTAAATTTATAGGTTTTTATCGCTCAATCTCCCACCTCCACTAGTTTCATTTCTTTTTATCTCATAACTTAATTGTATACAACCTTCTCTATTACTTTTGAAATTATGCTAAGGACAGATACTGGTCTATAATTTGAAATATCATGAGAGTCATTCTTTTTGAAGATTGGAATAACTTTTGCCATTTTAAATATGGATCGAAATTGGCTGGTTGTTATTGAGAGACTAAATGGGTTAAAGGAATCGATATATGATCACTTATCAGTTTTATTATTTTTACATATACCAGATCAATACCAGTACTAGGCTTATTTTTTAGTTGATCGATTGTATTTTTTATTTCAATTGAAGTTACGAGTAAAAAGAAAAATGTTTTGTTACACATTTTTGGCTGAGCCACACTCTTAAAATTTTCCTAAGAATACTTCACAACAGAATTAGACGCAAAAGCGAAGAAGATCTTGAAGATACCCAATTTGGTTTTAGAAATGCTATGGGAACCAGGGAGGCACTTTTTGCGCTTAACATCCTATTACAAAAATGCCGTGACCAAAGAAAAGATGTATTTGCATGTGCGGACTTAGATAAATTACAGCATGTAAAATTATGCAAATACTGAAAAATATCGGAATATATGACAAGAATATTCGTGTCATTAAAAATTTCTACTGTAATCAAACTGCTATCGTAAAAATTGGAGATAACTACACCGATGAAATCTATATACAACGAGGAGTCAGACAAGGTTGCATTTTGTCACCAACATTGTTCAGTATTTACTCGGATTAGTTATTCAAAAAGGCAAATGGAATAAAAATCAACGGGAACTACTTAATGTGATTAGATATGCCGACGATACAGTAATTCTATCAGATAATATTGAAGGTCTTCAAATTCTGCTTGATCGTATTCACGAGGTAGGAGAGGAAATGGGCATTAAAATAAACTCAAACAAAACCAACTTTTTAGTGTTTAGTCGTGACTCACATCCCGATGCAAAGCTTCAATTGAACGGAGTCCAAGATGAGAAAGTTCACAAAATGACATATTTGGGAACTGTGATAACGGACCAACTAGATCCAGACATAGAAATAGAACGTAGAATAGCAATGACTAAAACTACTTTTATGAAAATGAATTCATTTCTTTGCAATAACAAAATTGAAGCATTGGAATGCCAAAGATACCTTGAACAGCAAGGAAAACTAATGAAGAAGTACTAATGAGTGTCAATAAAGATAGAGAACTGCTAAAGACTGTTAAACATAGGAAAATGTCTTATCTGGGATATATAGTAAGGGGAAGTCGATATAAAATATTACAACTGATCCTTAAAGGCAAAATAGAAGGCCGTAGAGGTGTAGGAAGAAAACAAGTTTCTTGGTTAAAAAACATTCGTGAATGGACTCAGATAAAATGCAGGACAGAAGATAGAGAAGCCTTCGCAATGGTGATCGCCAACGTCGGATAATTCTGATATGATATGGCACGCGAACAAGAAGAAGACGATATGGCACGTTTTTCGTAGTGTTGGAACAAACCTATTTTTAATTCATAGTTATAAACTTTTATTTATTAAAAAAAAAAGAAATACTTTGAATATTGTAAATTTCATACCTTTATAAGGTTTAAAATTAAAACTTTAACAATTTGATATATTAAATATAAAGATTTTGTTGTATAAAAACAAAAAAAGACAAAAATCGTAAAATAGTTTCGAAACACAATTCAGATTTCTGCTTTATAATCTGAGCCTTCTAAAAATTGCAAGGCAAACAGACGTTGATAAAAGATGTTGAAAGAGACATGGGGAATCTAAAATTTGCATTCCACGACATGTCTTTTACAACTAAGCAGAAATCCTTAGCGAATTGTGCTTCTAGTACTCACACAGAGTAAATCCGAATAAATTGAGAAAAGGCAGCAAATATTATTTGATTTCACGCAAACAAATCCTATGTATCTCTTGATACGTATTTCGACCTAATAGGTCTCGTCAGAAGAGCTATTCATAGGGTTCTCAACGTGAAAAATCAATATTTTCTGCCTTTTAAGAAGCAACAATAACATGGCTTCATTACGGACGCAATAGCGACATCTAATTACAAAAATCGTAAAATAGTTTCGAAACACAATTCAGATTTCTGCTTTATAATCTGAGCCTTCTAAAAATTGCAAGGCAAACAGACGTTGATAAAAGATGTTAAAAGAGACATGGGGAATCTAAAATTTGCATTCCACGACATGTCTTTTACAACTAAGCAGAAATCCTTAGCGAATTGTGCTTCTAGTACTCACACAGAGTAAATCCGAATAAAATGAGAAAAGGCAGCAAATATTTGATTTTACGCAAACAAATCCTATGTATCTCTTGATACGTATTTCGACCTAATAGGTCTCGTCAGAAGAGCTATTCATAGGGGTTCTCAACGTGAAAAATCAATATTTTCTGCCTTTTAAGAAGCAACTTTTAAGATAAAAAAGACAAAGGTTTAGCAAACATGTCACGCACAACAATGTGGAGAATCCTCCATAAAATGAACTTAAAAAAATTAAAGTAATTACATTATGTTTTTTTTTTTAATTTCAAGTAAGTTTCTAATTTCTAAATAGTCATGTGTTCAAGAACGGATTGTGAAAATAAAAAAAGATTTTGCTACTATGTAAGAAAGATAGTGTTTTTTTTGAGAGACCAGACGGTAGAAGATGGAAGATCCCAGACAAAGATGGAAGATCCTAGAGAAAGATGGAAGGATGATGTTGAAACCAATTTATCTAGGATCGGGGTACAACAATAGGAAATAGAAGCGCACTTTCGTAGAATATGGAGGGCTATAGTGGATGCGGCGAAGACTCACTACGAGTTGTAAAACAAGTAAAGAAGAAGCAAAAATAGAAAATAGCCTTGCCGGACCCCTCTTTTTATATTTATTTTTTCTATTGGTTTATCTTCAATTTGTACTGTAGCTCTATGGTTATAGTAAAGGTTGCGGATTATTGTAAGCAATTAGGATTGCAAAATAACTGACTTCTTCTGGATCAATAACAATACAATCTACGACTACATCAATTAGTAGCTCCTTTGATATCAATTCAGGTTCAGTTGCGATGACTTTATTTTTTTTTCCACTCCTCCACAGGAAATGTTTGGAAAAATTCGTCCGACAGCTGCTGGATTGACGTAAATGTAAAGTTTGCATTTCTGGCTCCCACATATGAATTCAAAGCTGCCCAAACGATTTCAATAGGATTCAAATCTGGATGGTATGGTGGGAGTCTAAATACATCGTGTCCTTGTGCTAGTATAATTGTATCGATTGCATATTTTACATAACGAGGTTTATGCAATTTTATTGTTATAGAGATCAGGCTTAACATAGAGGCAGTATATGCAATATTTATTTCCCGAAGCCATTCCTACATAACACTTCTTTGATGCGGATGTGGGACATTTATCTTCCTGTGTATTATGGTATGGCGCATTATCTAATACTATTATACTATTCAGAGGCAAGTTACACAAACCAGATTTTGACGTCGACTTCAAAACAACGTTGCCCTTTTGACACTGGTTTCTAAGTCTATTATTACTGGTATCACACCAATTGTTTTTTGCAATATGATTCGTTATATTGCAAATACCTTGATAGACCTATTGGTCAAAGAAGAAGAGGAAGACCCAGAACAAGATTCCTAGATAACATAGACCAAGATATGAGAAATATGGAAATACGTGTTTGGCGGAGGAAGGTGATGGATAGGGACGACTGGAAGAGAATTCTTGGGGAGGCTAGGACCCACACAGGGTTGTAAAGCCAAAATGATGATGATGATGATGACTCGTTAGTAAACACTATAAATTTATTTGCATCTCTTGTTTCCTTGATTTTCCTCAGATATTGCAGCCTTAAATGTCTAATTTCGTGTTTCTCTATCAACATTTTTCTGTTGTCGAGTTTTTTTCAGCGAAACTCAAGGTAGTGGAATTCCATCCTCATACTTTCTCTACATACATGGATCTAACTATATTTTTGAGGACTTTTTTTGTCGTTTATTAGGTGTGGAGAAAAAAAATGGTAATCCCAACAAGTAATAAATAAGTAAAAAAGGTAATAAATAAGTATGCAAAACATTTATAATATATATATATATTATATATATATATATATATATATATTATATATATACATTTTAATATATACATTTTAATAGAAATATACAATCAATTTACCTGTCAAAGCAGTTACTTGTTCTTGCACTTTCGATAACTTAATAAGAAGAATATTTACTTCTGCTTCCTGTTGCGTTAATTTTAGAACCGAGTATATAATTTCACGAGCTCGTGCACTCAGAATCCGATTTTCTACGGTACTTACAGGATTCATTTTAATAAAAAATGATTATTTCACCTTTTTAATATGATAATTCAACAAACAATAACTATTTCGCGAATTACGAAGTTATCTGACAACGTAACAAACGCACTAAAATTGATGTTCAATGGTAAGTATACGAGCACTTGCATACAACTGACTATCGGCTCCTCCCTTTATTTATGAAGTGACCTTGAGCATTGCAGTTATATCTGTTGAGTTATACATCTTATTAAATTTGCTGTTGTAACCATGCACGTTGTCTTTTTTGGAAAAATTAACGTGATACATTTTCTGGCGGTTATATTAAATTGGTGCAGCTTACATTGTAAATCGTCTTCACTTTGAGAGAGTAGTATCGCGTAGTCTGCATAGCAGATTATTTAAAGTTGTTTTTCTCCCATTTGGTATCCCTTTTTAGTTCTTACTTTTTGAAACGTTATTGTTCTTCTGCTAGTGTTATAATTTTATTCAGTTTATTTCTTATAACTTTAGTTGTTAATTTTACTGTTGTATTTAATAAATTAATTCCTCTGTAATTTTCCGGGTCCGATTGGTTTTCCTTTTTGAAGAGAGATATTAGGATGCTGGATCTCCATTCTTGAGGAATTCTGTTTTGTTCTCTTCTATTCTATATAATAACTAACTTGTAACTAATAATAAACGTATACCAACCTTCACTGACAAATACTCCAGATCTGGAGTGTTTTTGGAGAATTTTTCAGACAAGAGTTTACTGGAGATAATTTTACTACTTACCAATATACCAGTAAAAAAAGATATTGATGACGATTATTGAAAAAAAGTTTCTACGAAATTTATATTTATTTTTCAAAATTTTACACTAACAAAATTAACTATGACACTTTTTTACAAAAATATTTTGTATTAACTGCATCAAAATATACACTATATCAACAAAAATAATTTATGCTGATAAATAATAATTTATACTAATAAAATTGATACATATTATATATATATATATATATATATATATATAATATATATATATATATATATTTGCTTATTACAAACCAAATCTCGAAGGTGTTCGTCTTGGGGTAGCCCCAGCAGTAACAATTTCTTGGCCTTTGTTCATCGCCGCCACCTTCTTCTCTGCCGCTTCTTTTCGTGCTTTCATTTCTTCTTGTGCCACTTGCATCTGATTCTCCATTTCCAATAAGTGTTCTGCTGCTTGTTTTTTCTTAGCTCGCCCCGATTTTCCAGTCTCTTTTAGAGAAAAGAACATTGGACCAAGCTCAGCCAACCAGTGTCCATCAACCGCTGTCACGCACTGCATGTATTCTCGGGCAGTCATCACCAACTCGTGGTAAACTACATAGTCGGGAGTATTACCTAAACCGAATAATGCTGAGGTAGGATGTAAGTGACAGGGCATTCCTGTCCTGCAGTTAACGTATTCACCAATACCTAAAAAAAAGGAAACCTTTACTATAGTTCAGTTACTCAAAAATTAATATATCTATATCAAAGACTAGGATGGCAAGTCCCACTGTTTGTCAGGTAGGGTAACTACGCCACCTAGGAAAAAAAATCTGAACTACCAACATCTGACATTTTTCATATTTTGTTCTTGAAACGACACGGCTGATTTATTGCTAATTCAGTCTACAAATTGATGATTCAAATATCCTTACTCGGAAATTTTAATTGTACCTGTACACAGTACTCATTGTACTACTCACTACACCTTTTTTATAGATAGGTAGTACTGCTGAGTATTTTAGTACTTTCAGAAATACTCCAGTTGATAGAATAAATTAATAACATGAGTGAAAGGTGTTGAAACTATTTGGTAAGTTTCTTTTAAATCTTGCTATTAATTTCGTGACCGTCCCTACAATTGGAATTAATAAGTTGATACAACTACTGGAGTGAAATGTCATTCTGGTATAATTGTTTATAGTTACTTTTAAACCAAGATATATTGATAGATTTTGAATATCAAAAGGAGATTCAATTGTAAAATTTGTATTAAAATCACCAAGTATGATCAGTTTGTCTGCTTTACTAAGCACGGACCATGTAACATTCTCAAAATTCATCGAAAACAGGTCAAAGTCACCCTTATCTGATCTGTACACAGTTAAAATATTGGTTTTTGTTGAAGGTAGATAAATTGCACAAAACTCTGAACTTTGCTCTACATTATATTCATTTAGATTAAGAGAAAAATACATAAGATTTTCTTTTACATAAATTGCAACACCACCTTGTTTCTTTTTTACAATACCAAAGAAATTAGCTAATGCAAAGCTGTAGACGCTAATTAATTTTAGGTTTTCCTCAGTTTGCCAGTGCTCGGAAAAAACATATGACGTCATAGAACTTTTGATCCGCAAGAAAGGCATTGATTATATCGACTTTATTAGAAATACACTGCAAATTTACATGAAACCTGTCCACCGTGGCTTGTCGAAGTTTCTAGGTTTTTTCTTCCGTCTTCTTCATGTGCTGAAAATTTATTTTGAAGTTAAATCTCCTAACTGCAGCTTCTTTGGGACAAAAAATATTAGGTCTATAGACTTCGTCAATTTTATCGAAAAGGAAAGATACCTTATATGTATAGTATATTCTATACCATTTAACGCAGTTAAAAGTAATATCGGGTGCCGTCTCACCCAAGAATTTTAGAAGATTATCGGCTTTCATATCAACACATTCGTAAATGACCTTGTCTAGGAATGGTGTTTACATTCTATATATCTAAATTCTGAAATTAATTATTTATTCTCTTTTAATTATTCTAAAAATTAAAAAAGATAACTAGCTTGATTAGCGGTAGGTACTTGACGATCAAGTCCTGACCTGTGTCACTAGCCGTGTACTATTCAGGAATAGGTGAATATCATTTTTGAAATGCGGAATTCATCTGCACAAGCGTTCAGGGTTGCCATGGCAACGTGACGTCAGCCTGTCGTTAGTGATAGCTGAGAAAACTGGAAGGTGCATATCAATTGAAAAATAAACTATCCGTCTTCACACACTAGTTTAATGTGTATGTAGTATTCCTATTTTTCGGAAATTTCTCTCATCGACAATATTTTGAAATTTAGTCTGTTATATAGATATTTTTTATATAGTATAGTTTATGTAGTGTATTTATTAGTTTAGTCACAGTGTTAAGTTTATTTGTTTAGTGCACTTTATTATAAGCCCATCAGATTAATCTTGTTTTGCAACAGAGCTATAAGAAAATATCAAAATGTCGAATTTTTTTTGCAACTATTACCGGAATCCCATCGTTTTTCATAGTTCAGCAAAACGATCGTACGCTCTTGCATCTACATCGGCTAGACGTATGCCAACAATTACAGAGACAAGATGGTCGTTTAATTCAAAATTAATCACTGTAATTATTGAAGACTGGGAAAAATTAAAAGAGGTTTGAGGTTTTTGATAATACAATGAATTCTGAAGAGTCAGACCGCAAATCAGTTCAGCTGGCTAAAGGGTCTTTAAGAGATTTAAATGATTTTGAGTTCACATTTTTAGCAACGTTTTTCATAAACAGATATCTTATATGATGTTCTTCAAAAAAAGTCCCTAGATATTAATTTTTGTTTAAACCAGATAAGGAGAACTCGTCAATTAATAAGTGATAAAAGAAATGAAGAATTTTTTAATTATATTTTTGAAAAAGCAAGCACAATGACGGTCATTAATACTTCCAAACGTTTTAGGTGCGATGATGGTATGAGCAAGAATCCAATTACTACTCAATACAGAGCATTATTTTTTGAAATATATGATCATATTTTAATGAAAATGGATATACGTTTTTAGGATTGTGATAAATTAAAATTCGTAAGCTTAGCAGATACAACAAAATTTGAGTCCTACAGTTTGACCTTCCCTTCCGACGCTTTTCAAAATTTATTTGAGTTTTATGGCACACAATTTACTAAACATCAAAGACTTAAAAGGGAGCTCTGCCTTTTTTATGCCGACGAAAATTACAAAAATGTGAATTTGCAAGAATTGGTTATAAAGTTAAAACCAAAACCAATTAAAGACATTGTTGCAGAAGCTTATAATTTGTTTTGTTTAATTCTGACAATTCCATCGACAAGCGTTTCCGTAGAAAGAAGTTTTTCGTGCTTAAAAAGGTTAAAAACTACAAGAAACACTATTTCACAAGATAGACTATCCAGTTTGACTGTTATCGCACTTCATAAAGAACTGTTGAATGTACTTATGCACAAGCATCTTTTCTACGAGGACATTATTGATAGATTTGCCTCCTTAAAAGACCGAAGGATCGACTTGATTTATAAAAACTAGATAAGTCAGTTCTATTAGTCTATCTAATACTGCTTTTTTTTGTTTAAGTATCTCTTCACCCTCGGTTCTAGTATCATCACCATCATCATTCCGCAACATCTTGCATCCAATTTTGGATATAGGTCTCCTCCATATTCTTCCATTGTTTGCATAGTTAGCACAAGATAGTGCATAGTTAGCACTATCTTGTGCCATCTGTATCGAATTTCCCACTGTTTTTCTCGAGTCATCCATCCATCTTTTTGGTGGACTACCTCGGTGTCTTTTATCTTCTCTAGGTCTCCATTCTATGAGTTTTTTGATCCACCTATTATCATTTAAACGTGCTACATGTCCAGCCCATCTCCATTTCGCTTGTGAAATTTTTTCTATGACATTTTTAGTCTCTTTAGGGGACTTTAGTCCTCTCTCTCTTTCTCTCTCTCTCTCTCTCTCTCTGTCATCCCGTGAGAGGTTGTTGGACCTCCATTGGGCGCCTCCCCAGGTGGCAAATAGGGGAATGCCTCCTAGATATAGTTGGTACCGGGGAAATGAAATACTCGGGGCGGACCAAAACCAGTAAACACTGCAGTGTCTGATCCAGAGTGATCGGCTGCAATCAGCATCTGACCCAGAGTGGGCGGCTGAATCGAAACTCAACAAACCCATTTTACCAGACGTGGTGTTTTAATCGCCAAAAAACCCTCAGTGAAATGTCGAAGGTTCAGAATTAAAATACTCCAGGCAAGCAGAACGAATCGTATCTAGTATAAGTGCCCTAAAAAACTGTTTTCAAATTATTAGAGCCATAAACTCTACAGTTTTTTAACGAATTTTTAATGAGATTTGGGCGCGACGTAGGTACCAAAACTCCTTTTGGCTCCAGCAAGGTTTCCTCGTCTTCACCACTTTTTTAGGCCACGAGCCTCCGCTGGTTTGTATTTGTTTTATTTTTGTGATTGGGTATTCCAAGATGAGTGTCCTGTTTTTAGATTGTTTGTATTTTCTTTGTGTTTATCACTCATGTATGAAAATAATAATTCCCAAGAAAGTTATGCGTGATGTCATCGAATGGAATGCCTCGGATGCTGTCACGCAGCCCGGTTGACGGCCGGCGCTACCTTGAGTCCGGGTCAAGTAGTGTAAAATTGGCCACCGGCCACACAAATGCTAGTGACCAGGCATCGTGTGGAAATTCAGCTACTGGTCTACAAAAAGATAAACTAAAACTCAGACAGCTATTGAAGGTCGGTACATGGAATATACAAGGGCTAAAAACAATCACAGGTAAGCTAGCAATTATTGAAAACGAGCTAGCAAGATACAACTTAGAAATCTCTGGACTAGCTGAAACTCATTGGTTAGGAGAAGGCCATTTTAGAACAGACAATGGCAATTATATTTACTTCTCTGGCGGTGAGACCCAGAACTATACAGGTGTTGCCATTCTGGTCTCACCAAGATTACAAAAGTCAGTTGTCGAATTTAAAGCTGTGAACGATAGGAGAGTACTCATTAAACTGGATGGCAAACCACATAAAATTAATATCATACAAGTTTACGCGCGAACCAGCACATCAGATGACATAAAGATCGAGGAGTTCTACGAAAAACTGGAGACCACAATCGCTAACATACCAAATAAAGAACTTACTATAATATGTGGCGACTTTAATGCAAAAGTTGGCAACACTACACAAAATGACGACTTAAAGAATGTACTGGGAAAGTTTATCATAGGGCAGAGAAACGAAAGAGGAGACCGTTTAATCGAATTTGCTATCACAAACAACTACTCCATCATGAATACTCGATTTAAACACCATGTACGTCGACTTTATACCTGGAAAAGTCCTGGAGATAGATTTAGAAATCAAATAGATTACGTCCTCACCAATATTCGCTGGAGATCGTCCATTCAAACAGTCAGATCATATCCAGGGGCGATATGCGGATCCAATCATACTCTCCTCGTAGCTAAAGTAATGCTTAAACTTAAAGCACCCAACAAACAAAGAGAGATAAAGAGGATAGAACTAAGAAAGAAAGAAGATCTTCTACAGGAAGTACAGAAAAGTATGCCCTCTATTCGTAACAGAACATCACAAGAAATATGGGAGACTGTTAAACATTGCGTAACAACACCAGTGGATCGCTCAAAGAAAAATAATCCGGTGAAACGGAAACACTGGATAACAGATGAAACTCTTAAAATAATTGAGAATAGAAGAAATCTTTGTAAAAGTGGTGTACATAGTGAAAGGGAAAAAGCTAGTTTAAGAAACCTCAATAAAGAAATAAAACGAAGATGTAAGGCCGACAAAAAACAGTACTATCAAAGTATATGCAAAGAAATTGAGAGACATGGTCAGAATAATCAGCCGAGAGATCTATTTAGAAAAATACGCTACCTGACAAGAGACTTCAGAGCCAGAACTTGGGCCATTGAAGATAACACTGGAACCCTGAGAACAAACAGAGAAGACATAGCAGAGACATGGAGATCGTATTGCAGGGACCTATATAAAGATGATCAACGCCAAGAGCTTGTTAGCCAAATCTCTGACGAGGTGGAAGAAGAACCTGATATACTCGAAAATAAAGTAAGACAGGCTATCAACAAGCTCAAATATAACAAAGCACCAGGTCCAGATATGATAATAGCAGAAATGCTTAAAGCCACAGAAGAAACCGGCGTAAAGTTACTTCATCTACTCTGTAACCAAATATGGCATTCCAAACAATGGCCTGAAGACTGGACAAAATCTACAATAACGACCATACATAAAAAAGGCAGCTTCCATAAATGCGACAATTATAGAACTATCTCTCTTATATCCCATGCCAGCAAGATAATGCTACATATAATCAATGAGAGACTGAAAACATTCCTTCAAAGAGAAATTCCACAAGAGCAAACTGGATTTACCAAAGGTAGAGGCACTCGAGAACACCTGCTGAATATAAGACAGATAATCGAGAAATCTAGGGAATTCAACATCCCACTATACATCTGTTTTATAGATTACCGTAAAGCGTTCGACAGGGTCAAGTGGAGACACTTATGGCGAATACTAAAAGAAGTAGGCGTACCACAACATCTAATTACGCTTATAACCGAACTATATGAACACACTACTGGATCAGTTAAAGTACTTGACACACTTTCGAACGAATTTCATTCAGAACGGGGTGTCAGACAAGGATGTATACTATCTCCACAATTATTCAACATATATGGGGAGTATATTATGCGAAGAGCACTTGAAGGATGGGTAAAGGGCATCTCAATAAATGGTCATAAACTAAACAACCCACGTTTCGCAGATGACACAGCCCTTCTTGCAAATAGTCAAGCAGAGCTGATAGAACTTATACGACTGATCGAAAACGAAAGTCAAATATTTGGTCTGCAATTAAACATATCAAAGACAAAGATCATGATAGTGGATAGACTACACAGCAATCATCCACACATAACCACAATTGACCGGTTCGAGGTTGTGAGCTCATACTTATATCTGGGATCATTAATCACAAACACAGGGTCATTACAAGAAGAGATTAAACGTAGATCTGATCTAGCAAAAGTTGCCACAGCAAAAATGACCAAAATACGGAAGGACTGTCAAATTTCAAGAGCGATAAAGATGAGGTTGATCAACTGCTTAATATTCCCAATACTGACCTACGGATGTGAATCTTGGACTCTGAGACAATCGGAGAGAAGAAAGATAGACGCTACTGAAATGTTCTGTTGGAGACAAATGTTTCGAATTCCTTGGACCGACCGCAGAACAAATAATTCAATTTTAAGAGAGCTAAAAGTTAGCCAACGACTCTCTAGTAAAGTCGATTTCCAACAATTAAAATATTTTGGGCATATTATGAGAGCAAACACAGAAAACATGGAAAGACTCATAATACAAGGAAAGGTAGAAGGCCGAAGATCACGAGGAAGATCCCCAACAAGATGGATAGATCAAATTACAGGAATATGCCAAAGACCTATGCATGAATTAAAAGAAATGACCAGAGACAGAGATCTCAGGAGACGGACAATACACGACATCACGTCGACCACTACACTCCCCCTGGGGGGTCAGGATTGAAGAGAGAGATGAATGAGGTCGAGTTGTGTTTTATTTACAGTAGACTCCCTCTTAACCAGCCACCTCGGGGCGTGGCCGGTTGACCAAATGGCCGGTTAGTCCGATGTGCAGGCATTTTCATGAGAAAAATCAAGTACATGCATACATATATCAAACACATGTACAGGAAGGTGTATATTAATAAAGATTACGGAGTATAGAGTTGAAAAATACTATTTATTTCTATGTACATATATACATATTTAAATATTTTACAAACTTGTTTTTAAAAAAATCGGTAACTTTCTTCTGTTTCTTGACATTAAGTGAATTTTTAAAAGCTATCTCTACTTTGTTTAAAAACCAAGAAGTCTATTGAAGATGACCCAGGTTGTTGTTCAATCTAATTCAATGCCACCTTCATTGCAGCCCTCGCTTCGGTGTGGCCGACCTTTTCCTTTCCGTCAACATCATCATTATCAGTCTCTTCATTTTCATAGGGCTCATGTGTTGCTAGTGTAATTATTTCGTCGTCTGTCAAAAATTCGTTTTCAAGTTCCTCGTGATAGTTCGTCCATTCTTTAATATCTTCGGTCTGTAATTTGACATTTTCGGATAACGTTTGGAGATCTTGAAGAATGGTGGTAGAATTATCTTCTTCGTCTGATTGTTGACACTCAACAAGTTCCTCAATGTTGGTCCAAAGATTTCGCCAAGACTTAACGAAAGTAGAAGCAGGAATTTGTTGAAAGGCGGAAGCTAACATGTAAATTAGGATAGTAGGAGTAAAACTGTTTTAGTGGGAAGATTTACGCTCTTAAGATGGCGCGTTACTCTCGGAACAAATTCATGCTCAAACCATTCTTTGAATAAATCAGTGCTCATCCATGCTGATTTTTGTGATCTGTAGAATACGGGGAGGGATGATGGATGTAAATTTTTAAATGCACGCGGTTTAGTGGACTTTCCAATAACGAAAAGATGAATTTTGTGTGTTCCTGCTGCATTTGAACAACCAGCAACTGTAATGCGCTCTTTATTCTTTTTAAATCTAGAAGCTGATTTTTATTTGGAATCTGGAAGCATTTTAAAATTGAGATATAGAATATATTCTTCATCAATTCATCATTCAGAGATCATCAAGCGGCAAAACAATACGAACGGGGAGTGGCCGGTTAATACGACGACCGGTTGATGCGCGACCGGTGAAGAGAGAGTCTACTGTAATTACAATTTGATGGGTTCTTGACTGGTTGAACCTGAACTGCACGGGACTGCAAGACAATGAAGAAACAAAGGCTCTTATCAGCACCATCGCAATCGGAATTAACACTAGCAGGTACATTCCTTTCATTGTAAACGAGAGGTGAGACAAGAAGCAAAACGGTCTACATGTAGCTCGTACAGTTACTGAAGCTAAAAATTGGGTCTAACAATAACCTACAAAATCTTTAAAATCACATCGATTTTTCTGATTTTTTTTTGTTTTTGGAGGACGATAAGTACCGATTATAGTAAAAAATTGCAATAGAATATATTCTATTTATAATAATAGTGATTATAATAGAATATAAGTGATTTACAAGATTTAATTATGTTAAAATGTCAAATACTTGTTGTTTTATATTATGGTACATCGCTAGTATTATTACGCCAGCCCGTATGGTACGCTGAAAGAACCTTCAAGTAGTATGTTAGAAGAACCTACTGCTACGAGATAATTCCAATGTATTCTAGGGGCGTGGATATAAAGTTCCAGAATTAGTGAACCGCCTATATATAAAGATACATTAGATTGTAGAAGTTAGTCGATCATATAAATTTGTACGGTTACGTAAATAAATGTTATAAATTAATTCTGTTTTTAGTGTTAGTGTTAGAAGACTGTAAATAAAATAAACATTACAATATTTAACAATATAACTTACCTTTTAATCTTGCAGCTTGTGGAAATACGCTGAGCAGATACATTTCCTAACAACATCCCAATCAGATCCACAAGACCTCATCTCTAGCTTTTGCTGAATTACTATATCTTTTAACTGTTGTCTCACTTCTCTGACTTTTCGCATCGCTTTTACGTGAATGAAATGTTCATTGCACCAATGCGAGGAATAATTATTTTGCTTCCATTGGTTGTAAACGTTGAGGAAAGTTAAGTGATCGCTTTCAGGTACTTGAAATTTTTCTCTAACACTATCTGCTTCTTCTTCCCTTCCTTTAGGACGGTAAAATATCGAAGGTACTGATAACATGGAAACTACAATAAGTATTTCGGCTGTACAACCCATTTGTGACGAAACAATTAACATCTGACATTGCGGGGGATCCAGAGGAAATTCTGCCATTTGTCTACCTAGAAATGAATCATACGTTACTATTTTTAATATACACTAAGGGTTTAGTTAATATTTATTTAAATTTACAAAATCGAAATTCAATTAGTTTGTGCAATTTGCTTTGGATTTTATGCTTTTTCCCGTTCCGTTTTGCACAGTGCTCTAAATTCTTCTTGCTCATTTGTAGGTAGTTGTTGACAGACTTTTTCAACTGCACTAATTATGTCTAGTTTTAGAACTGATGGGCATGATACAGCAAAATTTAGATTTTTTGAAAGCATCAGGTTCTATTTACATTTCATTCTCAAGGAATAAGATGTGAGCTTGTTTAAAATTATGTTTAAATCGTAAATATTAAAAACATGCATAATTATATAAACTATTAAAACTAAGATTTTGATTAATGTACTAGTTGACACCAACAGTTTTGATTCACTCTCACTGGTATATATACTCTATTTGAATATTCTTCTTCAATCTTCTCTACATGGGAACAAATGTTTTGCCAATTTTGAATGAACTTTGATAAAATGAAAGGCAGATATCGAGCACACTTTTATTAATTTAGTCTTGCCCAAGAACTTTCGTTATCTAAAGTATCATCAGGGGCATTTCGTCAATTTTGGGCTATCCAACAAGTGCAGAATGTAATAAACATAACATTAAACATAAAATTGTACAAACACTACACTAAAACAACACAAAGGTGTTGTTTCAAGACAACATCCTAATATGGGTTTTATTATTTTAGCATTTAATTAACTTTGTATCGACAGACCTGAAGATTCTTTGCAAATTGTAGAAAGCGAAACCGGTCGTCTAGATAGTTAAATTAACTGATTGTGAGTAAGACTTATTTATTATTTCTTTACCTATTTGAAATGGACTCACACAAGCAACACATTCATGATTTTAATTTTATAACTGTTTGTCCTTGTTTAGTGTAATGTTTGTACAATTTTATGTTTAATGTTATGTTTATTACATTCTGCACTTGCTTGGATAGCCCAAAATTGACGAAATGCCCCTGATGATGCTTTAGATAGCGAAAGTACTTGGGCAAGATTAAATTAATAAAAGTGTGCTCGATATCTGCCTTTCATTTTATCAAAGTTCATTTATTCGAGCATTCAACCTTATTTCAATGTTGAATTAGTTCTTGAAATTTTTCTTTTGTGATGTATGATACATCATTGAAAAGGAGAGGAGGTAGCGAATATGTTAAGACAGAAAAAAAGACACATGGCGGCAATGTCAAAAGGGCATTATATCATATCTCCGTTGTTATTGTTTTGATTGGAGCGTGTGATATGTATTATCATCATACGATTATGCTATATGTATGTGTATGCTGTATTTTGACAAACAGTTGAATTGTACACCTGTTGGATCTTATAACCGTGAAACCAATCTTTAATATCATCATAAAATGGCATACAGTCCATTGTATATTACCTAATTTAGTCAAAACTTCGGTGTGATCAAGGGCTCCTAATATCCATAACTGATATAAAGAATTCAAAATATTATCTTGTGGTGGCGTATCCATAAAGTGAAACTGTAGGAGATCCTGAACGCCTAGAGATTTTAATAATAATACAGTATTGGCTAAGTTCGTCCGTTGAATTTCTGGAACTGCTGTAATTAACAGCTCGTCTTTATATTGACACTCTGTATATAACCGAAAGGCTTGTCCCGGTCCCTTACGGCCTGCTCTTCCCGAACGTTGGTTGGCATTTGCCTGAGTGATTGAATAAATCTAAAATAAATATATTATTTAACACAAATTGAGCCAATATATAAGTTATTTTAGGGTTGTCTTGTTTCCGTGAGTTTACTTCTCAATTCCCATCCCAAATCTTCCCGTTGGGCAAAACTTTTATACATCGGATAGAGGAGGGAGTTATTACAGTTAGTGGGCTATAACTTCAAATGAAAACAATCTGAAAAGGACTAAAATCTGGTGCAAGCTAACATATAACAATTGTTTGTATGCAAATATGTTTTATTAAAAGCGTTATCAGAATGCTTTACTCTTAAATATGTTATTAATTATGAAATGGGAATAATTTACTGATTTAATTGTTTAATTTTTTTGTGTTTCTTTATAAACAAGACAACTGACATATATGAGGCAAAATAAAAAAAAAAATAGTCAACATAGTTGTCATTCAATCAGGGATCAATAAATGGACTCAAAATGTCTAATTTTTTTAGTTTGTTTTTTGACTAGAGAATTTTCGACTGGATTAATACTTTTTACATACGATTTTTCACACTTAACTATCCATATATAAACGTACCTGTAAAGCATCCATACCAATACGAGGATTATACACCTTCAGTTTGCAATACCCAGAATCAATAACGAAAATAATTCCGTCAACGGTAAGTCGACGTTTCTGCTATATTAGTGGCGACTACACACTTCCTATTTCCTTCTGCAGACTTTTGGAAATTTTGCCTGTAAATCAGATGCAACTGAGAATAAATAGGTAAAATAGATAAATCCGGAGCATTGTCTATTTCTGCCAATCTTTCGGCAAGGACTTCACACGATACTTCGATATCCTCTTGACCTGGCATGAATATGAGAATATCTCCTGAGGGGGGTTGAAGGTGGATTTGTAAAGCTTGTTTCACAGCAGCGTCTACGTAGCTCTTCTACAGGATTCTTGCTAAATAATGTTTCTACAGGAAAGGTACGACCTGTGAACACAAACCAACATAAGGAATAAAGAAAAAAAAACACTAAATTCATTAATCTAAATTTTAACGTTAAATGCATTTTAATTCAATGGTTATAATATTCTCTTAAGTGTCGTCTCTATCACAATGGAGGTTGACGGATGTGGAGAGTTCGGTAAACTATCTGTGGTTAGGTATCATGTAGATATTCCCGCGTTGTACAATGCAATAATATAAGCTCTAACCTTATAAACGCTACATGTTTGTATATTTTTCTTCAAATTATTATTGTATCCAATTTTTTATGATTTTATTCGTTTGTTAACTTTCTGTTTTGTTTTACTATTTTTCTTTTAAAAATAATTGGCGCTCAACTCTTCTATCAACTAAAAATTTTGTCTAATCTTTATTCTTCATTTTAAAGTTTCACTTGTTTCAGTTTTATTTCCCTATTCCGCTGCGTTCTATTCTACACCGTAGCTATGTATAAAGTGTCTAAGCTGTCTATGCTCTACTCCAAAGTACAAAATATTTGTCAGTTAACAACTCTTACAGGTATATAATTGGAACGTTTTCATCTAGAACGAGTAGTTTCTTCACGATATTTAAATGCATAAAAAAAGTCGTTTTTTGGCTTAAATATTGATAAAAAACCATGACGCAGTAAAAATTTGGATACCCACGAGAGGGTACGCCATTTCCATTGACTTCCCCCAGATATGCCAGTTGAATAATAAGGCCCAGTAATTTTTCGATTTTTAATTGCTTCGTTTCCTAGTATTTTTTAAATCTCTCTGCGGCACATGTTTGCAGTTGATAAAATTTTATATATTTTTCTTGTAATATTATTAACCTAACCTAATTAAAGGTGCAAGAATAGAAAAAGCCAGATCCATATTCACTAAAATGAAGAGAGTGTTCTGCGGAAGAGATTTGAGCCTTGAAATGAAACTTCGCCTGATGAAATGTTACGTACTTTCTGTGCTGTTCTAACGGAATGGAGTCCAGGACGTTGAAAATGATACCAAAAAATTAGGGGCATTTGAACTGTAGATGTATCGCAGAATCCTGAGAATGTCATGGACCGAGAGAGTCACAAATGTTGAGGTCTTGAGAAGAATGAATAAAGAAAAGGAAGTCATATTTACGATCAAAAAACGATACTTGGGACACATTACAAGAGGCGAAAGATATGAACTGCTTCGAATAATTAAGCAAGGGAAAATAGCAGGAGAAAGGTCCATAGGAAGAAGACGAAACTCCTGGCTAAAGAATCTACGGGAATCGTATAGCTGTAGCAACAACGAATTGTTTCGGTCAGCAGTTTCGAAAATACGTATAGCCCTGATGATCGCCAACCTTCGGAACGAAGATGGCACTTGAAGAAGAAGAAGAATTAAACGTGTAACCCTGCATCTTTTTCTAATGGGCCGCGTTTATCGACCACGTGACCTTCCCATTGATCATTTAGGTCACGTGGTCAAATTCGGCCCATTAGAAAGAGATGCAGAGACTGCTTTGCGTCAGCTTTTGTCTGTCGCATTGGGGGAACAACGTGACGCTGTATTGCAACGCTCAGTCTATTTTTATTATATGTCTATGGTAGCTAGAATTTTTAATGTAATTTAACTAATTTGTTTAATAATAATCATTTAATCCTTGCCTATATCTTTATTAAATTTGGAGTTATCATGTTTGAATGATTACTATATTGAAAAAAATTATTTGTTTAAATTTTTTTTTAATGGTTTTATTAGAGGAACCAGTGGAAATAACACAACGAAAACTAGTCAATATTGTTAGTTACTCACCTGGTATTGTAAATGTTGGAACATTTCCAAAAAACATAGAAAATTTACTACTGTCCATTGTAGCCGAAGTAACAATTAATTTGAGATCATGACGTCTGGCTACTATCTCCCTCAACAAACCAAATAGTACGTCAGTACTTAATGATCGTTCGTGAGCTTCATCCATAATTATAGCACTGTAGTGGTCTAAATCTGATTCACGTAAACTTTCCCTTAAAAGTATACCGTCGGTCATATATTTTATGACAGTCTTTTCAGAAGTGCAGTCTTCGAAACGAATGGCGTAGCCCACCTCGTCGCCTAAAACACAATTTACATAATTGTCACTTATTATATGTGATATTTGCAACATTGCAACAACATTGTTTGCAATATTTTTTCCAGATTGGAAATTGGTAATACATAAAAGGGTCATAAAAATATTACATATGTTTAAATCTTAATTAATTATCTAAATAAATGAACTTAAGGAAAGAGAGAAAAAAGGTGAAGAAAATTTATTTATTAAGTACTTAAATGGCACTCCTAGAATAATGGCAAAAAACTAACACAGTCTTCACCTGGAGTGTGGGTTTATTTTCAAAATGTAGGAGGTCTAAGAACTAAGCTCGACAGTTTATTTATGAATGTATCCTATTCTGACAGTATTATCATATTCAATGAGACTTGGTTGAGATGTAATTATGCCAATGAAGAGCTGCAGTTGTTTGCAACGCAACTCAAAATATACAGAACTGATCGCTCCAGGAAACAAGTTCATTCTCAAAAGGTGTTGGAGTTCTTATTGCAGTTCACAAGAGCTTCAACAGTAGACCTTTAACAGTTATTCAGACAGTTGAACAACTTTTTGTCTTGGTGAGTGAAGGTGCAAATCAGTTTATTATAGGAACAGCATATTTTCCACCAAAGTCTACATTTGAGAAATATTCCATATTTTGTGAAACCTTAGAACAAATTGCTGAAGTTTATCCATCTGCACACTATTATCTGATTGCTGACTTCAATTTACCAAACTGTGAATGGTTTTCAAATGACATGTGCTCTACAACAATTCCTCTACCAGCTGCCACACAATTTGAAGTTGAAGCCCTGCAGGTTGTGTCTGGTATGTGTGCATACCACAATTTGTTTCAGTCCCAACACTATTGTGAATTCTACTGGTAATATTTTCAATTTGGTATTGATTAATGAATCAGATGTAACTGTGTCCAGGGCAGATGAAGTTCTTTTGAGGGAGGGTATGCACCACCTACCACTGGTATTTGAGATAAAGATGGCCAAAAGGTGCCCCAATATTAGTGGTTTGGTTAGTGATGGTTTCTATAGGGACTTTAAGTCGGCTGACTATGTGAAAATAACTGATTTTTTATCACAGTTCTGTTGGGATAATTTATTTTTAGTAAAACCACTGAATCAAATTGTGAATATTTTTTATGATATAGTTTACTTAGCTATCGAATTATTTATCCCCCTAAAAAGGTATTCAAAACATAGATTCCTTTCTTGGTTCTCACCAGAGTTGAAGGAGCGGATAGTTAAGAAAAAGAAAGCTCACAAAAAAAAATATCTTTTATCTAAATCACTTCTGCATTACTGCACTTTTTCTCAGCTGAGGGCCAACTGTAAATTGTTAAGCTGAAGGTTACAGAAATCATATTTATTTAACAAAATTATCATTAGGAAATAATTTGAAGGGATTTTGGTCGTTTGTGAATTCACAAAGTAAAACATGACCGACTCATGGAAATTCTAAAAAATAAAAACCTAGATGAAAGAGATTTAAGGCTAATAACAAACCTTTATTACAGTCAGTGAGCAATAGTACGAATTGAAAAAGAGACATCTGAAGAAATGGAAATAAAGAGAGGAGTCAGGCAAGGCTGCATACTATCACCTCTATTATTTAACGCTTATTCTGAAGAGGTAATTCGAGAAACTCTGGAAGATGAAACAGTCGGCATAAGAGTAAATGGAGTCTTAGTTAACAACATCAGATATGCATATGATACAGTAATAATAGCCGACAGTTTACAAGACCTGGAAGACTGATAAGTAAAATAGTAATGTGTAGTAGGGAGTACTTACTCCCGCTCAATATCAAAAACCATATTACTAACGAAATCTTGATAGTAGAGGACCAGCAGATCTAAAGAGTAAAAAAGTACACTTAACTAGGAACACTTATAACAGAAAATAATGACTACACTGCAGAAATCAATGTCAGAATCGAAAAAGCACGTTCTAATTTTATGAAAATGAAAAAGGTCCTATGTGGCAAAGATTTAACATTAGCTCTTAAACTACGCCTAACAAAATGTTACGTATACAGTGTACTATACTATGGAGTGGAATCATGGACGTTACATCTAGACACAATGAGACGACTTAACGCCTTTGAAATGTGGACCTATAGAAGAATTATGAGGGTTTTCTGGGTAGATAGAGTTACGAACAATGAAGTACTGAGAAGAATAGGTAAAGGGAAGGAAGTGGAACTTACAATTAAAAAAAAGAAAGCTACAATAATTCGGACATGTGATGCGGGCGAAAAGTATGGCATCCTGAAACTCAAATGAAAGGAAAGATAGATGGCAGAAGGGACATAGGAAAAAGACGGATTTTATGACTTAAGAACCTGAGAGAATGGTTTGGATGCAGCTCAAAACAACTATTTAGAGCTACTGCCTCAAAAATTAAAATAGTTATGATGATTACCAACCTCCGTAGCGGAGATGGCACCTGAAGAAGAAGAATTTACAGAGGGGAAAGTCTTCCTTGCCTGATGTGTTGAGTTATGGTGGTGTTGAATCCAGTCACGGACCAGATATTGTAAGTCTTTTTGCAGAATATTTTTCTACGGTCTATTCCACTTAAATATGTGACATACCCAGTGATTCACCTTCACTTGATCTTACTAACTTGACTGGTTTCAACATAACTATATCTGATATTCATTTAAAACTATCACTGGATATGAATAAAGATCCTGGTCTTGAATTTCCAGAATGTTGGAAAAATAGTTTTTTAACACCTATTTTTAAAGCGGGAGATAATTCATTGGTGAATAATTACAGGCCCATTAGTATAATTATTGCAATACCAAAGATATTTGAATGTTTTGTATGTGACTATCTTAAAGCTTCACTTCCAAAACAGCTAGTAGACCAACAATTTGGATTTCGAAATAGCAGATCAACTGAATGTAATACACTAGTGTTTGTGGACTTCCAGAGGAAGTCTGTAGGGTACATGCACTCTACACAGATTTCTCCAAGGCCTTTCGGCCTTGGAGATCGGGTCAACTGTAATATTTTAATAAACTTTAAAAAATGGGCGTTCAAGGGTTACTTCTTAGATAGCTGAGAACATATTTGACTGACCGAGTTCATATGGTGCGTATCAGGGATTTTGTTTCCAGTGAGATTATTCTCATAGGTTCATTCAGGAGTACCCCAGGGTTCTCATTTGGGACCCCTGTTATTTAACATATTCATCAATGATTTACACCACTGCTTTCAGCACAGTCCAGCTCTTCTTTTTGCGGACGATTTAAAGTTCTACACAATTATCAATAATACAAAAGATTGTGTTAATCTTCAACAGGATCTCGATTGGTTGAGTGAGTGGTGTTTGTTGAATGCCATGGTCCTGAACGCATCCAAGTGTCATGCTGTTTTTTTTTTGGACGATCGGGAGATCCAATGGAATATAATTATAATATACAGAACTTTCTTGTTGACTGGGTTACCGAAATTCGTGATCTGGGAATTAATTTAGATTCTAAACTTTTATTTGAATCGCATTATATGCCAATAATTTCTAAGTCTTTACAAATGCTTGGCTTTATAAAAAGATTCACTAGAGACTTTCAAAATATTGATCAATTAAATTACTATATTGTTCTTTCATCAGACCCCATTTAGAGTATTGTTCTTCTGTATGGTCTCCATCTTATAATATTTACATATTAAAAATTGAGACTGTTCAACACAAGTTTTTGAAATATGTAGCATATAAACAGGGTATACCTTTTGAATTCAATCAAATAAATTGTGATCAAATTGAAACCCAACTTAGTATTCTCTCATTGTACGACCGACGATTAATTAAAGATGCAAAGATGCTTTATGGCATAATTAATTCTACAGTGTTGTGTCCTCAGCTACTTAAGCAGCTTTTTATGCCCCTTTTCACAGAACCAACCATGCATATGATAGTTTTTTATCTCGAGCACTAAGATGGGCAAATATTCACCCATATCTAGATTTTTTTGCACCCAAGGCCGAAATCATTTCTGGTTTCAGGTATGTGTTTATTTGACTGATGTGTTTACTTGAGTGGCTGGAATAGGTAATCATAATTTTGATGAAATCTGAATTACGTGATGAAGCTTGTGATATTTATACTTATATTTTTTTGAATTATTGTATACATTGTAAACATTGTTAATCTTATTAAGCAGCAGCCCATTGAAAATAAATAATTAAAGATGGGATTTTGTGTTGCTGCTTATTATTCTGTGTAACGATATGCATCGCCTCGGTCCCGTCAGCGCTTTTCCACACACGCATTCCCACCACAAGTTCCTCTTTTATCTATATGCGATAGAGGAGATGGAAGGCCCTTGACCGTATAAAAGAGCAGCCTTCGCACGAGAAAGGAGTAGGGATGTGCTAGTCTGCGATTTCTTTGGAGCAGTGACAGAATGCGATTGCTCCAGCTACGTCACTGTGACAAATCGCAGTGATTTTTCGGAGCAGTTGACCTTGGTCCTATAAACGCTGCTTTCTGATTCTATTACCGAGTAGCATGTAATACTGCGAAATTGCGATTGCGCTATATCGAGTAGATGTTGGGAGATTGCTACTTTTAAAGTATTTTAAATTTATTTGTAGTATTAGAAATATTATAGCGATATCAATGATACTGTTAGGCTGTAATAATTTTATGTCTTTAAAATACATGGTACTCGGTTATAACTTATTCTGTCTTAGTTTATATGTGACCACCTCGCAACTCTAAGTTCTTGGAATCCCCGAACTGTAAAACAGTATGTCCATTCAGTCATATAGTATAGCGATTAAGCAACATATAACGAAAATTGTTAAAGCTGTTTTACGATTTATAATTTGTTGAAAAATTTTAAATTGGTGTGTAGTTTCAGTGATAGCGATGGATAGGAAAAAGACGGCGCATATTTGGAAGTTTTTCACACCCCAAGACCAAGCTAACGCCATGTGTAATATATGTAAGCAAGTACTTAGTTATAAAACATCAACCACCAATTTAAAAAGACATTTTGAAAGAAAGCATCCTTTAGTAAAATTATCAGCAGATCTAACTTTAAGAACCAGTGTTTTATCGAGACCGGTACAAATAGCTACTACCACCCAAGTTAATCCTATTCAACCAGGTAACTCTGAACCATCCACATCTTTATGTACGAGTATATCTTCTTCGGCAGGTCATAGTCAGGAGTCAAATGTCAGAAGCAAAATTCAGACTTCAATTCCGTATACCACTAAATTAATAAATATTCATTCGGAGAAAAAGTTTGACAATGCCCTAATGAGATTGTTTACAATAGATTTGCAACCATTTAGTTTAGTTGAAGATACGGGCTTTAGACATTTTGTAAATACTTTAAATCCAGCATACCAACTGCCAAGTAGAAAATACGTTACAAATACTTTATTACCAGCATTATATGAAGAAAAACTCCACAATGTACGGGAAATGGTAAAAACTGTAAGCTCCTTAACTATTACTACTGATTGTTGGATATCGATAAATACTGAGAGTTTTATGGCTACCACTATTCATTTTGTGACCAAAGAGTGAGCCAAAATCTATTTTACTTGAATGTAGCTCATTTTACGAAGCTCACACTAGCATTAATTTGGCTTCTGAATTGAATCGGATTACAACTGAGTGGAGTTTAGAAAATAAAATTTTGATAGCGATTTCTGATAACGCTGCCAATATCAAAAAAGCTATTAGAGAAGAATTGAAATGGCCACATTTTGGATGCTACGCCCATACCATTAATCTTATTGTGAAGGATGGCCTTAAGGAAGCAGAGCCTACTATCAACAAAGTTCGGTTACTAGTAGCACATTTCAAACGCAGTACATTGGCTATGCTGAAACTGAACGAAATACAGAACCAATCGGGTAAGGAGCCTCTGAAATTGTTACAAGATGTACCAACACGGTGGAATTCCACTTTTTACATGTTGGAAATAATCTTACAGATGGAGGAAATTGTTCGCTCAACAGTCGCACTTCTAAACAGTACTAATTTACCCATTATATCTGTTGAGGAGTGGCAGTTGCTAAGCGATATTAAAAAAGTCTTACAACCAATGGAAGAAGTGACTAAAATTATTTCTGGTCAAAAATATGTTACATTATCATCTGTAATAATTTTAACGAATGGAATTGAAAGCACATATAATGACATGAAAAAAGAAAAATTGTCACCCTTAATACTAAACATGATCAATAAGTTTTTAATTGGTATTTCAGAGCGATTACCTTTCCTAGAAAATTCAAAGAGTTTGATTGTGTCTACGTTTTTAGACCCGCGATTTAAAAACTATGGGTTTTGTAGTGAAAGTAATGCAGAAAGGGCCAAAAAGCTCGTAATTAATTTAGTTGCCCACAAAATCAACGAACTCTCTACTGCTCCTGAATTAATCAATTCAGATGACAATAGAAATGAGAAAACACTTTCGACGATGCCATCAGTATGGGGATTTTTGGATAAAAAACTTGTTTCCACAAAGAAAAGCTGCTCAGCTCCGGCTACGTCAAGTGCAATAATTGAGGTCCAGAGGTATTTAGAAGAAGATTTGATTGACAGACATGAGGACCCATTGAAGTGGTGGCAAAGGTGTTCTTACAATTTTCCAAATTTGTCCAAAGTCGTTATAGACAAATTCGGAACAGTTGCAACCTCAGTTTCCTGTGAACGTGTCTTTTCCAAATCTGGACAGCTTTTATCAGAAAGACGATCAAGACTTAGTTCTACAAATGTTAAGAATATAATGTTCCTAAATGTAAATAGTGAGTGTTAATTCAACATCGACAATTTTTATTAATGTAATAAAAATTTTCATAATTTCTCTTTGCTGTAATTAATGCTTCTTATATTTTTTAGGTTGTCATGAAATTTTCTTGTTTTTAAATAAAATCTTAATATTTTTCTAATAATATTGTATATTATAATTATTATAAATAATTTTCTTAATAATGTGCACGCAATGACATTATTTATTATTTATAACTTTCATTTTATAAAAGATTGAAATAAATACGCAATTCATTTTTATTAAGAACAGCTGTTCTTGTTGATAAAACAATAATGATCCAACCAAAACATCTACATATTGTAAGCGTATTTACGGAAAGAGCACTGTCACTGTCATCACTACAAGCAAAGGAGCGCATCGCTTTGTCAGTAATCACAGTCACAGTCGCAATCGCCAATCGCAATTATTGAATGTTCGATCTTTCACAGCTTGGCGCTGTTCCTTCGTCACCGTTCTGATCGGACCGTTGAAACGTAACTGCGACAAAATGTAGCAGTGATTTTTTTTAAACCGGAGCAACCTGTGATTGCGACTGAAGGTGAACAGTGACAAAGTAGCAGTTAGCGAAATCGCAACACATCTCTAGAAAGGAGAGTTCCGTCGGAGTATTGACCTGACAACAACTCCACTGGCCCTATGGTATTGACTGAAGGCCAGCCGCTTTTGCTAGAATGTTGATCTACTAGCAGTTCCGTACTTGGTCTTGGAGTATTGATCTATTCTTTCTGTTTTCTATTATATAGGCAGACCTATTCCTTCCTGTGATCGAGTACTGATTAGTCTAATCCGTTCCTCGCCGGGCCGAGTGTTGATTCGCCTGTTCCATCTCTATTCCTTCGACCCGTTCCTTCCCGTCTGTGTGTACTAAAACACCGTAATTGCCGTTTAGATTTCACGTCATTAATTGTAGTTTATTTTTCGCAGATATTAAACAGTGAGTCATATTATCGCCGTCGATACCATCATGGCCAAGATTGACGTTTTATTTATTTATTTATTTATTTTGAATATATATATATATATATATATTATATATATATATATATATATATATATATATATATATATCCGGTTTTTTTAGGCGTTACGCCCGTCCGGTAGGGATCTATGGAGGAGTATCACCGAGCCGCAAGCCCTTATCTCTTGCCGTACTGCTCCACCATAGGCCGATCAGATCCCAGCATACCCTAGTCTAAGCCGCAGATTCATCTAGAATTTTAAACTGCTGCGTTAGACTTTTTGTTTTCTGTACACCGAGCTGGGGCTCGATCCCACATCCACTGAACCATTCGACAGTGAAGCGAATGAGAGGCAGCCGCACAGCCCGCTGAGCTATCTGACCGACTATTTTGAATATATTTTTATTTAATTTAAACCTGTATTTTACTGGGTCTGTTCACTAAAAAGCTACCCGTCACATCTGTCATAAAGAAATTCAAAGATATTAAACCGTTTCAATGAGTGTGTTGTTAAAGTATCATTAATAATACGTATTTTGCGACTAGCTGTTTACTTTTACAGCTATATTGAGGTAATATTCGTCATCGTTAATTGCTGTGTTGAATACCATTTTAACTTTAATAACCCTGGAGAGGAATGTTGGAGATTCAAAAGAACTGATATTTTTTGACACTTAACAATTAATAGATATATAATACGATTATCAATTATAAAATAATATCACTCCGAGAGCTTAATGTCTTGATACAATATTAATAAATATTGTACTCACCTAAATGAGTTCCCATTTCATCACTAACTCTCTTTGCGACAGACATAGCTGCCACTCTTCGCGGCTGCGTACACCCGATCATTCCATACTTGCTGTAGCCTTCTTCGTGTAAGTACTGAGTCAATTGTGTAGTCTTTCCACTACCAGTTTCACCGACTATTATCACAACTGAATTTTCTCGGATGATGTTAAGAAGTTCTTGTCTTACTGCAAAAGCAGGTAAGTATCGTCTTTGCTCCAGTATAGTCTTCTTTCTAGCAAAATCACTGCTAGCGGCTCCTACAAAACAAAATGTAAAGTTTATCTTTACCATTATTCTTTACTGTAATCAATGGTTTTTTATAAGACAACTAGAAAATGTATAATTAACTTTCATTAAGTGTAATTCCATGAAAAGTGATCGAAGTTAAGAATCTGATATTTTCTATAGATACATAAAATTTATTCTATATCATAAAAAATAACTCGTACAACTTTTCAATTCAATTGGCCAATTAGGGGTCCCAAAAATTCTGAAATATATTTTTCGACATCAAATTTAATCGGCTTTACCTCTAAACTAGATGGTGAACACCTAGTAAGATATATATGCTTATGAGCAAGATTTGGAATGAGGAAAAAATCCCTATCAACTGGAAAACCGGGATTATATGCCCAATCTATAAAAAAAGGGATAAACTGAAATGAGAAAATTATCGCGGCATAATCCTGTTACACACGGTGTACAAAGTTTTTATTTATATATTAAATAAACGACTGCAACAACTACAGTATTGTGCGAATTAATGGAATCATAGGCTGTTTTAATGAAAAAACAGTTTATTTAGTATAAAATTAATATTTTGACAAAACTATAAAGGTAAACTTACATCATTCAGTAGGAAATATGTCCCCCTTTGGCAGCAATTACTGCTTTTACCCGTTTTGGCATAGATTCTATGAGTTTCTGGCAGTTGTCAGATATCCTTTCATCTCGATACCAAACCTGAATGGCCGCTTCTATCTTTTTTGTTTTAGTGGTACAGTCGATTTTTCGAAGTCTAGCTTTGCAAATGGCCCATAAATTTTCAATGGGGTTGAGGTCGGGCGAATTACCGGGCCAATCTAAAACATTAATCTTCTTATTTTTGAAAAATGCCATCATTTCCTTTGATTTGTGACAGGGAGCAGAGTCCTGTTGAAGAATCGCTCCTCCTTGGAGTTGACATTTTTGGAGTTGTTTGTCCAAATACTTTTCCAACATGGATTTGTATTTTTGGCTGTTCATCATGCCTTCAATTGGCACCAAAGATCCAACCCCCATGTATGAAAAACATCCCCAAAACATTTTCTTGACTGGATGTTTTACGGTTTGATCAATATGAGATGGTGTAAGCTTTTCATTGTCAGACTTCCTGACGAATTTCTACCGGTGTCCCTGAACTATAAAGTGGGTTTCATCTGTAAATAGGACTTTTTTCCAGTCGCCTACAGTCCAATTAGAGTATTTTTTGGCCCACAGTAGTCTTTGTTTCTTCATTCGTTCAGTTAGAAGCTGTTTTTTCTGTGGACGAATTGCCCTTCTACCATTCTCCAAAAGTCTTCTACGAACAGTTGAGTCATGAATCACTATAGCTGATGCTGCTAGATCTTGTTGTAGGTCTTGGCTTGATTTTCTTGGGTCCAATTTGCTCTTTCGAAGTAAAAATCTATCATCTGCTGGTGTTGTTTTTCTCTTTCTTCCACATTTTCCTAACCTTTTCACATCCACTGATCCCGTTTCTCGTTTACGCTTCAAAATTTTGCTTACTACCCCCTGACTCACTCCACACGTTCTAGCAATCTCTCTTTGTGACATACTAGTGTGTTCACTGAACGTGACAATCTTTTCACGCTTCCTAGGCGTAATATCCATGTTGGAATAAAACCAAAAACAACACAAAATAGTACAAAAACCCCCAAAACAACACAAGCTTGGTAAGAAATGACCTAAAACACACTCAAACACACCAACACACAGTAAGGTTATGTTTTCAATGCTTGGTCAGCTGTCAACTGTGTAGGTAGTGTTGCCAACTGTGAATATTGAAAAAATGAAAAAAAAATCACAGTGATTCCATTAATTCGCACAATACTGTAACTGAAAATATTGTCTGGAAATATCAAACTGGTATCCGACAAGGAAGATCTACAACTGACGGGCTATTCACAGTGAAACAAATTCTAAACAAATCGTGGGAATACGACATTCACGACCACAACATATTCATAGATTTCAAACAGGCCTACGACTCAATTAATAGAGAAAAATTATTGCATAGCTTTAACATCCCCCAGAAATACATCCTACTAGTAAACGTAACAATGAACTCGTCACCACAACTGTCAGAGTACAAAATGAGCTCACTAAGAACTTTTCTATTCTATAGTCAAAGGATTAAAACAAGGAGACGGGATGGCACCGACACTATTCAACCTGACTCTTGAATATGTGATAAGAAAGCTGAATATAGAAAGAAGTAATCTTCTAACAAATAAATCAATACAGATTGTCGCCTATGCCGATGAACTTAGCATCATGTCTCGCAGAAATTAATAAATCTAATAATTGTTGTACCTTGAGAACACGTAATAAAATCTAGCGATCACTATCGTTTTAGCAAAAAAAAACACTAAACAATAATGGTATTTAAATACACGTAAATACAGAAAATATATCCATATAAACTGTAGACTAAATATTATTACCGTACTTATAATCCAAATAATTGTCCTCGTCAAAAAAAAAACTACAGTACTAAAACGTTATAAATCACTTACAAGGGATTTAAGGTAAATGCACTAGTACTTGACACTGTACCAGTAGTTGACATTTTTCATTTTCCAAATTTTTGCCAAAGTGTTGTGTGAACTTCAAGTGGCAACAAGTTTTCTAAACAAAAGTATTAAGAATGTAAGTTTAAAAAAATTCTATTTATTGATTAAATCGTGAATGATTATAGTTTTAGATATAATCACTATATTAAATGAATATTAAGGTAACGTCTTGCTAATGTTTTAAGTTTGTTTTATTCTTAAAACAAAATTTAGGCTTGGTGTCAATTACTAACACACAAATACACAAAAATACTAGTAGTTGACATAAGTGTCAACTAGTAACTATTTTATACTGAGACTATAAAAACATAATATTTTATTGTGATTTTCATTTTATATAATGTGTATACTAAAATTTTAAATATCACGTAAATGTATCCACTCTATCTAGTAGTTCACACTATTTCAACTATTGAAACACTTTGGGTGTCAACTACTAAAACAAAAATTTAAATTTTCAGTTAAAAATATGCCTCCTATAAAAGGGCAAATGTTCTGATTTACAGACGAAGCTATGGAAAAAGCTATTGAGGAAGTACTATGTGGAAAGACAGTTTCAACAACAGTAAAGAAGTATGGTATACCCAGAGTGACTTTGTTATACAAGTCAAAAGGCAACACTCCAGGCAAAAGAAAAATGGGTCCCGAACCATACCTGAAAGAAGGTCAGGAGAAGATATTAGAAAGAAGATATATGAAATAGGTGAGTTATTAAACCAATCTGAGGCTGAAACCAAAACATTTCGGATGTTGTGGAAGGTCACACTAGTCACAGTAGGAAAAATCTTCAATATAACAATTTTGCTATTATTCAAGACACTTGTGCTTCTTCATCAACACAATAACAAGTTCCGTCTTCAGCAATTGAAAAATTACCTACACCTTCTACATCAAATGAAATTATACCCTCTCCTTTTAAACCAATACTGTTTTGGCATGAACTCGTATCCTCGATAAATAAAAGAAGAGTGGAAAAAGTTTCATCTGTGGCTAGTTCAGAGCAGAAGAGATACAAAAGAAAAGAGAAGAAAAAAAACTTTGTTAAAAACAGAAACTGAAAGTGAAGAAAAAATAAAGTTAGTAACAAAAGAGAAGAACCATCAAGTGATGATAATGAATCATGGGTTGAATCTGGTAGCAGTCTTGATGATACATCTTTTGAAACAGGTGATTGCAGTGATAAGGAAATATTGATCATGTAAATTATATGAAGGGGGATTACGTACTTGCAAAATTCCCTGGAAAGAAAAAAGAATATAAATTTGTACGTGTAATACAAAAATTTTTCAATAATTTGAAGCAGATGTTGTGGGTATGAATTATTGTGATGATAATAAAACTTCATTTTGAATATAAGTTTCCAGATTCAGTGGATGTAGATGGCTAAATTTTTGAATTTAAATATTTTATTATAATATAACTAAATCATAACTGTCAATTACTAAACCTTGGATGTGTCAACTACTAATTTTTTTTCATTTTGTTGTGTCAACTACTGACACTTTTGCAAAAATTTTTGTAGAGTTCAACAACATCGGTTTGAGGCTAAATAATAGTTTTTTTTCTTCTTATATGGTCAACTACTAGTACATTTACCTTAGTGTCTGCTTGTAAAACTCTCGGCTTTTGATCGAAGTAACAAGTGAAGCGACAAATGCATTTAAGGTTCATACTATTTGTATGTGTCTTTGAGGACTGGCGCCAATAAATAATTCGGAGGTTGTGTCAACAGAAACACGCACAGTGTCAGAGATAATGCAAAGGCAGGATGGTACGTAGCTAACGGCAAGAAATACGCGGCGGTAGCATGTATCAAACTAGAGGAATATAGGTATCTAGTTAGCGGAAAGATGTATCTATAATTTATTCGTCTTCCGGGTTTGGACCGTGTCATTTGTGAGTGACCCAAAAGTGGGTTCATCTCGACGTTTCGCTACAATTGTATGTAGCTTCCTCAGGAGAACAAAGAAAAAGAAAACAAAAGACAGGAAGATGGGTAGTTAGCAACGGTAACTCAGTTACTCAACGCAACCAGAGGCGAATACCAGAGTGAATCCAGGATTCACTCCCCGCCTCTCGACGCGTTAGTGTTCTGAGCTGTTGGACGTGAATCCCTGTCCTGGCATTTGGTTTTCACCTCTGGCTGCGTTGAGTAGTTGAGTTACTGTGACCAAATGCCCATCTTGGTAGTTAGTATTCGCCTCTGGTTGCGTTGAGTAACTGAGTTACCGTTGCTAACTACCCATCTTCCTGTCTTTTGTTTTCTTTTTCTTTTTCTTTGTTCTCCTGAGGAAGCTACATATAATTGTAGCGAAACGTCGAGATGAACCCACTTTTGGGTCACTCACAAATGACACGGTCCAAACCCGGAAGACGAATAAATTATAATTCTGACTCTGGCCGTGGAAGCCTACGATCTCAAGATGTATCTAGTTAGCGGCAAACTGTTTCTAGTTAGCGGCAAGATGTATCCAGTTAGCAGCAAGATGTGACCAGTTAGCGGCAAGATGTACGGCAAAACAGAAACACCATCCAAGTCTATAATTAATAATAAATCATCAACATTATCGGGACAGCTACAATAAATGATATGAGTAAAAGACTTGGCAAGAGATGAACCGCTTCGTTAGGGAACTAGTACACAAATTAAAAAATAAAACTCAGATATTCATGATATTCGAGATATTAGTTAGCAGCAAGATGTATCCAGTTAGCGGCAAGATGTATGGCAAAACAGAACTGCCACCCAAGTCTATAATTAATAATAAATAGTCAACATTAGAGAACCGCTTCCTTCAGGAAACTAGTACACAAATTAAATAAAACTTTGAGATATTTTTAGCAAAGCTTAAATTTTTGTCTGAGGAGAATTTATATGCTCATGCAAGACTGGCACTAATTATAATTAAAAAAAGAGAACTATTTCGGGTAAAAGGGACTTTCTCGTTGTTTTTTTAAGCTAAACTCTCTGACAAAGTGTTAAGATAGTTCATTATATCTGTTCTTAGAAGTGAAGGGTTAGCACATAGACAAAACACACAAGCTATTGACTTGTTTCTACGAAGCGAAGGATCGTATGAACACAATGACTTACCCCCGATACGCCAATTAGCGGACCATGGACTTTCTGGACTATTTTTTCTACTTTATGTATGTAAGCATGTTAATACTAACAGTTTGGTTTGAGTAATGATTTGATATATTTTATGACGAATTTGAGCCCTTTATAAATCACTGCATGTATAACTATATTGCATACATATTACCTGTATCTTTCATGTGCTCTGCAAACTTATGATCTGCCTTATAATCAGTACTATCATCCTCCTTGTTATATTTCTTATCTTCTTCATCCTCAGTTTTTTTTATTCCCATAATATTACCAATTTTGGTTCCTCCTAACTCCCAATGTTTCTTTTGTGCTTTTCTTCTTTCTTTTTGTTCTCTGTAAACCCTAACAAGATGAGATCCTTTTCGTGCAACTAAGGCCATATCAGAAGTAGGATCTCTTACAGGAATGACTGGCTCTGGTTGTTTAGTGAATACTATTCTCCCATCGAGGAAAGGAGGTACTATGTTATGAACCAAGAGATGAACTCTATCAATTGATTCTTCATCGAAGTCTTCATTAAGGTCAACAGAATGGACAACTCCTAAAAAAAAATAGATTATTTATAAATAGGTTTTATCTTTAAGGTATATGTTACATTTCCAGAAAGAGAACACTCAGTTTTTTTTTTCAACATACATAGCAAAAATCCAAAATTTCAACAATACAATTATGCAAAATTTGTTATTAAGGGCGTAACAAAAAAACATGTATATAAATATTTATTTATTTCAACGGTAGAACCATTTACAATAAAATACAACAAATAGTAAAAAGTAAAGATCATGTACAATAAACATTAAACCAATAACAAAGAAACGATTAAACAGTAAAAATTTGTACATTTAAACAGTACATCAAATCACAAAAGTTAAAAAACATCACATATTTAGATTAATAATTAGACTCTTAAGTTGCCTTTTGAAAGCATTAATGTATGGACAGAATGGATCCACAAGGAGGTCATTGCAAGAGCCAGGCATTTTCGACAAGGGACAATGACGAGCATAATTAGTCCTATGAAAAGGAATATAAAAGAGTGCAGTGTCGCCGAGCGCCGCAATCTCGCGCATCGACGTGCATCGTCCCTCCTTCTGGAAGTTTTAATAAATTCTATTGGTTAAAAATCGTAAAAGTTTCATATAAAAGTTAAATATACTTTAAATATGGGACATTTTCGATTTACATTCAGTCGTGGTTTTACTCTCAAGGAGTAGCCGCAGGGCTCCTCGTTGGAGGACTCTGCAAAAAGTTTAAAAAGACTCTGAAGCTGAGTTTTTTTCTACTTAGAAATGGTTGTTTTATTCCTTACATTAAATAACCCTTAGGCATTTGTCTTTTTCAAGACAATGCCACTATAAAACGTCCAGCGGATAAGTATAATTTTATAAATACTTATCCCGCTCCGACGATATGGCGCCCAACAAAACTCGAACGTAACCACGCTCTGAGTGGTTAGAGTTCTCATGCTAGCGTTCCACCATCGCAGAAATTCCTACACGTGGTCTGCAACAAGAACCACTCAAGAAACAGCGGGGAGAGGATCGGATATTAGTATGTATTACACTAATATGCCGATATCCAACCTTCTGCAACCTGTAACCGTCGATGTGTGACCTTCTCCGAAGCCAACCTACCTTGATGCCGTACCTGATGCACGATGGATGTCCCCGGAGTAGCCAGTCACTGCCTGCCCTACCAGTATGTGGGAGCACCACGGAGGCTCAGGTAAACTCGCCTACGGCCCACCGGCGACATGCAGAGGGTACTGAAGGGCTAGAACGAGACGTAGCGGCCGACGACCGGCCACATCGCCGAGGAGGGACCTGCAGAAGCCGGCCACAACACCGACCACCGCCTGTGAGTGTTTTTGTGCAGTGCAGTGCCACGCGAGTGTAGTTTTGTGTTAAGAAAACTGTAAGTAATGACTTTGATAACATTTGAACATTCAATTTTGCCATTTTTACGCATTATTTTTTTAAATTTATTTTTTGACTTGTAAAAAATTCTGTTTTCTTAATGCTTTTAATAAAATCAGCTTTTTTTATCAGCCTCAGAGTCTCCAAAGCGGGGGGGATGTCGCCGAGCGCCGCAATCTCGCGCATCGACGTGCATCGTCCCTCCTTCTGGAAGTTTTAATAAATTCTATTGGTTAAAAATCGTAAAAGTTTCATATAAAAGTTAAATATACTTTAAATATGGGACATTTTCGATTTACATTCAGTCGTGGTTTTACTCTCAAGGAGTAGCCGCAGGGCTCCTCGTTGGAGGACTCTGCAAAAAGTTTAAAAAGACTCTGAAGCTGAGTTTTTTTCTACTTAGAAATGGTTGTTTTATTCCTTACATTAAATAACCCTTAGGCATTTGTCTTTTTCAAGACAATGCCACTATAAAACGTCCAGCGGATAAGTATAATTTTATAAATATTTATCCCGCTCCGACGATAGCAGTGTGTCGAGTTCTATGTATTGTGGTAAGATTCGAACGTAGTTATGGGGTTCGAATCGTTTTATAAAGCCGCTTTGTCCGCTTCTTGTCGATCGACGATGATAAATATAATAAAAGGTTGAATTTATATTGACAGCTACTGGTAACTACACAATATGATGTTCGTTAGGTAACTACTTGTAATAAACTGTACTCAATGAGCTCAAATCCCCAATTTATAATCTCACAAATAATTCATACCTCAGCACAGCGGTTATTGCTTCGTTCATACCATACCAACAAACTTTGAACTATTTGCTTACATTACAATTTAATCTAGGCCTTAATTGCGACACTTAGGAAGATCAATTAGAAAATATATTATTCGGCAATTTATTTAGTTATAGGTAAATGAACTAATTATTAAAATATTATACGATATGGTTTTACAATGCCTCACTTATACACAGTGAAACTATAAAAGATTAAGAAGTTAAGAATAATGTGAGATTACAAATTAGGGGTTAATTTGTGATTGAACAATTGTGTTTAAGTACACATTGGCTAATAACGAGGGCAATTAATAACGTTGTTTAGAATTTTAAACAAAAATAACATATCAGCCCTCAACCTACGATTCTTTAGTGTAGCAATGTTAAATTGGGACATTATTACAGAATAATCAATAAAATAATTTTCAGTATTTCTTATATTAATATGTGCTTTAAAAGCTAAAGATTTTACAAACTTCTGCTGAACGCTCTCCAATCCATCAATGTATACTTGATGAAATGGGGACCAACAACAGAGCAGTATTCAAGTCCTGAGCCTACCAAAGAGCAATACAAGAATTTGAATACAATAGGTGAGAAATCATGACTGTTACGATAAATAATACCAAAATTACGAAATCCTGTTTCTTTGATTTTTAGAAAATGGCTTCTAAATGTCAATGCATAATCCAATAATACACCCAAATCTCTAATCTCAGTAACTGAATCCAAGAGTACATCATTAAAGACATATCTATTAGCTATTAGATTATTTATACGACCAAATGAAATACAAGAACATTTAGTTGGATGTAAGCTTAAACCATTTTGTTTTGACCATAAATATCTATTATTTACATCATCTTGCAAGAGATCTCTATCCGATTTATCATGTATACAACAAAATAACTTAAGATCATCCGATAGATCATGTATACAACGAAATAACTTAAGATCATCAGCAAATAGCAGAAAGTGTGAGTTTTTGATAGCCTTACCAATATCGTTAATGAACAAGTTAAAAAACAAGAGACCACAATGAGAGCCTTGTGGGACACCAGAAAATCAATGGATTCTTTGAAAATTTCTCAATTCTTTTGAAATATAATTTTTAATACAAACTGTATACGTTCCATCAGAAAACTTTTAATCCAATTAACAAAGAGGTTACCAAAGCCAGATGCATGAAGTTTGTGGACCAAAAGGTTATGATTAACCTGGTCAAAGGCATTTAAGAAATCAGTTTAAATGCTGTCGACCTGAATTTTATTCTCAAATGCATCCAACAAGTATTGTTGGTAATTGACAAGGTTTGTAACTGTTGACTTCCCGTTAGAAAATCCATGTTGTTCATCAATAATTATGTTTCTGCAAGCCCAGGTGAGATTTATTGATACTAATGTATCAAGAAGTTTCGGGATTGCTGATAGAACAGTTATACCTCTATAATTGTTAACACACTCACGATTGCCAGATTTATAGATAGGTGTAAGAAAACTGTTTTTCCAATATTGTGGAAATCCAGATGATGACAATGATAAATTAAAAATTTGTTGTAAGGGTTTACAAAGGAAAACAATACAGTGCAGGTATACCATTAGGCCCTGAAGAATAAGTAGTTTGTAAGCTCATAATCCCCCCGACATTACATTACAATGAGCATTAGACCCACATGTAGCACTAACATAACTCCAAAAAGAGCAGAGATTACTTGAAAGATTTGATTGAATATTCTCTAAATAGTTCTTATAATATATACTGCTTGTACAGATTTACATATTTCTTTTAATACCGACAATTCCTCTTATGAGATGCCTGACGCTTTAAAATTCTTGTGAGCTATTTTTTTCTGTTTGACAAGCTCAATTAATTCTCGCGAAAACCAAACTGGAAAGTTTATTGATTTAAACTGTTTGATAGCAACAAACATATTGATGGAATCATATAAAATATGGTAAAAATTTTCTATGCAGCAATTCATATCTGAATCATCAATACTTACTTCCAAGGAATTGAGGCTAATATTCATTAAAAACTTGATAATTACATTTTTTAAAATCATGATAGAAGACATCATATTGAAGAATCACATTTAAATTGGCTGCATGTAACAATATAGTATAAGCTGAATGATGTTGTGAAGTATTCAACAAAATATCAGTTGAAATCGACACAACTGCATCCCTCTGAGTACAGAAAACTAGATCTAAACATTTATTATTAAGGTTAGGCAAAGCATTTACTTGTGACATATTTGGAAAATTGTAGCAAGTACAAATAATATTTTCTGGAGAGTGATGCGGACACTCAACTCTAACACCATTATTAAGATTATCCCAGGGTGCCTCAGGTAGGTTATAGTAACCACAAATGCAGAATTCATGATCACTGAATCTATCCGCTAAGTCCAACAAACAGATGGAATGCTCCTCATATACTGACCCAGATGACTGTGGAGGAAAGTACACAGCACCAATGCCACACATTACCTGTGTAAAAATATGTTCCACAGAGGAATCGATAGGCCTAAGCAACATTGAATAAACAGTTATGGACAGCAATACGAACACCAACCCCATGAGTCTTTAAACTAGTTTGAGTGTCCCTATCATGTCTATACACATTAAAGTCACTTAATCCCAATTCAGTATCTAAGTATCTAAGATATAAGCCATGTTTCAATGATAATAATAACATTATAAATAGAGAGACTTACTGCATGTTTGAAATTCTGAAGTTTAGTGCACATATCGCAAACATTCTGAAAATATAAGCTCAATGATCGTTGTTTGAGTTATTGGATTTACTGACAATGATTTTGGGTACCCCATTAAAATACTTGATC